TTCCACACATGAGTTTGACTGAGCTATTGTTGTTTCTATAGTGTTTGCACTGCTTTGATGAAAAAATTACCAAAGTTTAAGAAGGTTAAAGTATCAAATATAAATTCATGGTTAATTGTGTCAAATGTCTTTTGAAAGTCTAAAAAAAGAATAACTGGGTCCCCAGAGAGTAAATAATTATAATTAATCAAGTCCAAAACTAATCTAATATTGTTTGAAATATGACATCCAGGTAAGAAGCCATTTTGGGCTTCATGGATAATGTCATTAATTCCATATTTTAGCCGTTTGACTATTACTGAAGCAAGAATTTTGTAATCGTTGTTTAATAATGTAATGCCACGCCAATTATCAATTAGAAGAGCATCTTTATTCGGTTTTGGGATTAATGTTATTAGACCTTGTTTCAAGGAGTGAGGTAATTCTTCATTATTTAGGGATTCATTACATACAGCCAAAAGGAATTTAGAGGTTTCTGCAGTAAACTGTCATGTTGTGATTGAGTCTTTTAACCCACGACATGCAGAATCACAAAGAGACAAGGTGAGTAAAATATGTTATTTATTGAGTTTGATGAGGCTGGGGAGACGTCGGAGGAGGACAGTTCTGGCAGCGTTCTGAGACAGAGAACAAAAATGAGGAATGTAAAGCAGACGGGGAAGGTGTGATAGAATGGAGGCTTACGGATTCCAGTACGGTAGTGGAGCGCTGAGAGGAGGGCGTGTCAGGTCTGAGGGGTAGCTGGTGGAGGAGGCTGGGAGCTGAGCACCGGTTCCGAGAGCGGGCAGGAGAGCAGGTGGCCAAAGGAGAAGCGGTGTGGCTGGTGGACAGGAGATCCAGAGGCTCCTTGTAGTAACAGGTGAGAATGCAGGTTGACGAGTTGGTAACAGGCAGATGATGAGAGTACCTGGGCGGGAGAACGGAGGAACGGGACAGATGAGGATGAGGATGAGGATGAGGATGAGGATGAGGCTTAAACAGGCAGAACAGGATGCAGAACAATTAGAAACAGGTCTAGAGCTGGTGTGAACTACCCAATGTGAGTAATCATCCGGCACTGGTGAGTTGTCACACCGCTCCTTAAATCCCCTGCGAGCTGATGAGGGAATTCGCAGCAGCTGCTCTCCGGGCGCGCCCACCTGCAAACAGGAAAACTCAGAGAGGTTAGCTACACCCATTGTGACATAAACGTTTGGTAAAATTCACCTGTGAGGCCATCATTAGGTGATTTGTTGAGTTTAAGATTTTTAATTCCCCATTTTACTTCCTCAAAAGATAATGGTTCGTCACACTCTTCTCTAAGAGTGGTGCTTGCTTTTTTGACCTCTTCAAGCAAATTAAATATATTGGATGAATCGGAACATGTTTCCATTTTGTACAGATTAGTATAATATTTGGACGCAAATTTGGATATAGTATTATAGTCTGTTGTTATGGCATTTCCTATTTTTAATTTAGTTAGGGTACTTCTTTCAATGTTTAATTTTTTCAATATTAAAAAAATATTTACTGTTTTTCTCTCCTTCCAACCATTTCAGTCTTGATCTTATGAATGCACCTTTAGCTTTTTCCTTATAAATGTCATCTAATTCAGATTGAAAGGAGTTTAGCTGTAATAATTGTTCATTATCCGTAAGATTCAGGGTGATGTTTGATATACTTTTAATTAAAAATTCTATTCTAGCTTTTCTTTTTTTAGTCTTTGCTGAGACTAATGGCATGTTTTCTAACTTCATATTTAAAGTTAAAGTTAAAGTCCCAGTAGTTGTCACACACACTGATGTGTGTGCGAAATTTGTTCTCCGCATTTGACCCATCCCCTGGGGGAGCGGTGAGCTGCAGACACAGCCGCGCTCGGGAACTATTTGGTGGTTTAACCCCCCAATCCAACCCCTTAATGCTGAGTGTCAAGCAGGGAGGCATTGGGTCCCATTTTTTCAAAGTCTTTGGTATGACCCGACCAGGAATTTGAACAGTTCCCAATGTTTCCCAAACTCATTTGTAGAGACTGCTTGTTCCCAATATCGTTTTAAAAGTCTGTTTGTAGTTTCTATAAAGCTACTATTATTCAATAAAGAATTATTAAATTTCCAATAGTTAAATTGTTTTGTTTTATGCTGTTGAGACAGACTACATTTAATAAAAATTGTTTTATGATCTGTCATAATAGTAGGACTTATTTTCACTTCAGTGACCTGTTCATGAAGGTTATCAGAGATCAGCCAGAAGTCAGTTCGGGAACAGCGCGATAGATCTTTATTATTCCATGTTGTTTCGCTGTTGGGTTATGATGTCACCAAATGTCCATTAAGTTGAATCTTTTGCTAAATTTTATAAGATTGTTTTCCTCATCTCTACATTTAGAATATTTAGGGGGGTGTCTGTCCAGTTCTTGAGACCATACCATATTAAAATCTCCTCCCAAAATAATGTTGGCTGAAGGGTATTTACAGGTAAGAGAATGAATAACATTTTCAGTTTCATTTAATAAATAACAGTTAACAGAGTCTGAGTTATACCCATAAATGATCCCTAATAAGAAAATATGTGCATGAAGCTCTATTGCCAGAAATATGTAGTGACCTTTATCATCAATTCTTTTATCTAAAATCTTTCCATCAAATTTGTCCTTTAATATAATGACTCCAGCAGACCTATGTACCTGTGTAGCTCATACATAGATGGTTCCATTTGTCCGCTGTGGGCTACTCATTGGAGGTTTGCATTTGTAATACCACATATAGGAGTAGTAGTTAGGGAAAGAACTCCTAATCATTTATCTGTGTACACAGTGGAGATGTTGGCGATCTTATTTAGTCTTCAATGGATGGAACAAAATAGAATTAAAAAAGGAATTATATGTACTGATTCATTATCTGTATTAGTGTCAGTTGAATTAATGTCTACCAAGAGTCGAATAGATGTATTATATGAGATATATGAGACCATATTTAGATTAGGGAATTTGGGTACGGTAGTTAAATTTTTATGGGTACCGGCACATAGAGGAGTAGGAAATGAAATGGCAGGTTATTTTGCAAAAAAGGCAATAAGAGATAGGAAAATATTAAATATTGCATATAGTGCTGCTGAAATTAAATCTATCATTAAAGCACATATAATGGAAGAGTGGCAAAGAATGTGGGAAAGGGGAGAGAAAGGAAGACATTTGTTTCAGATACAAGGGAAAGTAGGAAAATGGAAAAATATAAGAATGAATAGTAGAGATCAAAGGATAATATCAAGATTAAGATTGGGACATACTGGGCTTAATAATACAATGCATCTGATGGGGAAACATCCAGGTTTGCGTGGTTGTGGGGTGGGGGGAGAAACGGTGGAACATGTTTTGTGTGACTGCATAAAATATGAGGGAAGTAGAGGGCAACTCAGGGACTGTAAGGAATTTGTTAAATGGTGAAGAAAGGAATTATAAGTTGGTTGTTGGGTATCTAAAGCACTGTGGTCTGTTGCATATTAATTTAGTTTTTATTTATTTATTTTTTTTCTTTTCTCGCTCTCCGACTCACACTCCAGCACAGTAGGTGGCGGAAATGCATGTAGCAGTTAGATGCCACCCGCCATTAAACTTGAAGAAGAAGAAGAAGAAGAAGAAGAAGAAGAAGAAGAAGAAGCTACTTGATGGAGAGTCGTGGAGGTAGGTGATTCCATCTCTTCCTCCTGTGAAGGCTTGTAATTATGGTCGCTAAGCAATGCACACGGAGTTTTCTTTTTAGTTGGAGTTGAGTCTGTCTTTTCTCTTGAATTCCGTTTATTTTTTTAGTTGGTGACTCATTTTCTCCTTTGTTGGTGCATTCTGCTAGCTTACAACTCACTGAGTAGTTTTCCGTTGCAGTTCCTTATTTCTTTCGAAGTTTATCCAACTGCCACCGTCTTAAAAATGTGTCAGTTCTTTAATGTGTGTCTGAGGCGTTTTTTCGTGGTTTTAAAAAGTTTATAATGGTTGGAGTCTAAACGCTCTAGAATGTTACCCCCTCGCCGCCATCTTCCCGCCGCTTCTCGGTACCTCGGCTAATCTGTACCGCCTCATCAGTCCGGCCGCCATCTTGGACTGGCCCTCGGAGCCCTCGCAGCCCAGTGATGAAGAGCTGGTCCAGGGCGGGCTCCCACTGGAGAGGCGACAAGATGGCGGAGTGAGCAGTTGGTTTATAGCAGGATCCAAAGGGAAAACAGTATTTTTCCAAGTCCAAACGCTGTTTAAAGGTAAGAAAACCAAGCCATAACGTATTAGAAGCGACTTTCATCCGTTTTTTGACAAACTGAGGAACTTTTTTGAAGAGCTAATTACGGTGAGAGAGAGAGTTAAAGATGGAACAACGTAGCGAAGCTAGCATCATCGATCATGATTATGGCATGGCTGTGATGGATGATATGAGTGAAAACGAACCCCAAAATTTAGAGCAAGCTGATGATAATCTCGAGGACAGTCAAACTGATATGAACAGTCCGCAACCCAAAAAGCTGAGGAATAGAAGTGTGAAGGCAAGAGAGGAGAGTACAAACAGTCTTGTGCAAATGATGGAGATTCTGATAAAAAAAAAATGTGTCGGGCTGGACGGGAAGTTGGAGAACATTGAAGGGAGAATGAACAATGTTCAAGAAGCTCTAAAAAAGTTGGAGGCTCTAGAAAGCAAACTACAAAACATTGAAAAAAGCACAGAAGACACGAAGAAAGAAACGAATGTAAACAAAGAAAACATCACTAAACTACAAAAACAAGTTGAGTTTCTGGGTGTCGAAAATAAAGCTCTGAAAGAGAAGGTACTGGAAGCTGAGAGGTACAAGAGGAGATGGAACCTCGGGCTTTTTGGGTTAGCTGAAAAAGAGGAAGAGAAAATCAGAGAGGATATCAGCATACTCACAAGAGTGGTCCCCATGTCTGTTGACGAGCTCTGCAGGAATGTGGACACCGTTTGGGAAAAAAAGATGCAAGGAATACCAGGCCAAGACCCATTATCATTCAGTTTGTGTCACGTACGATGAAGGAAGAAGTGTGGAAGATGTCGAAAGAGGCCAGAGTATGCAAGGAGAAGAGGATCATCTTTAAAATGGACTTCTCCAAAGAGGATCGGAGGCGAGGGAGAAGCTGTGGCCCCAGGTGGAGGAAGCCAGACGACGTGGAAAGAAGGCCTTCTTGAAGGAAGGATACGCCATCATCGATGGGAGGAAGGTCTATATATGTTAGAAATATGATACATTTCAATATTCAGGAAAGGACCAATACACTTTTTTTTTTAATATACTGTTCCTCTGTTAAAATGGGCTGCTATTTTGAGAATGAGATCTCACTAGACCAAACAGCCCAATGTTTTTTTTATCTTCTGATTGTTAAAGGTGGAGGTTTTGGATGAGATATAATATAGTTGGACAATATTGCTCATTCCTGCTGTTTGGATAAATCCAGAGCAGATATACTAGGTAACATTCTGGCCATTTGTTTTGTTTGTTATGTCAGTTTTGTTTACTTCTTTGAATGTTAGAGGGTTGAAAAACACCATAAAGCGCAAGGCACTTTTTTATTTTGTAAAGAGCTTAAGGCCAACTTAATTTTGTTACAGGAAACACATTCAGGCATAGAGGAGGAAAAATTTTGGAAACAACAGTGGGGGGTTAATATTTTATATAGCCATGGTACCAGCTATTTGGCAGGGGTTATGATACTATTTAACAAATTTACAGGGAAAGTAATTAATCATAGAGGAGACAAAGACGGCCACTGGTTAATAGCAGCTATAGAAATTTATGATCAGAAATGTTTTATACTTTCTATTTATGGATATAATAACAAAACTAAAAACAGAGAGATGTTAGAAAACTTGGGCAGAATGATAACAGATTGGCAAAATGTTCATATGACAGATAAGGTGGTTGTGGGAGATTTTAGTATCGCACCAAACTCTTGGTTAGTTAAGTTACCACCTAGAGGTCAGCAACCTGAAAACAATGATATCTTACAAGATTTCTGTTCTATCACTAATACTTTTAACTGTTGGAGATTAAATAATCCTACAAAATCAGAATACACATGGATCAGTGCTTCTAATGGAAACCAACGGTCAAGAATAGATTATTGGCTAATCTCACACTCTGTAGGTAACATTGTAAAGAAATGTGAGATTATTACTTCTCCGCTTACTGATCACTGTTTAATAAGCTTAACTTTAATAATAATAAAACAAACATGCTCTTCAGACAGTTTATGGAAACTAAATAATAGCCTTTTATCTAGGGCTGGGGGTAAACGATTATTTTTAAAACGATTATTCTGACGATTATTTTATCGAATAGTCGACTATTCTAATGACTATTTAGAAAATTAATCTAATGATTATTTTTCTATTGCACAATTAACAAAAACCAGAAAATCTCAAATAAATTCCTCAAAAAAAATTATAAATTCTTACTGTAAGAGAATAAACACTACAGGCCTTCCATTTTGTATAACACTGCTTTTATTGTGTTGCGGTTGGTTATGTTCTGGTGACGTGTAGAACTTGGGAGTGCAGGCTGCTGCCTGAGAGGTGGTAGAAGATGGAGTGTCTCCATGCTGCTTTGTTTTGGTCAGTTATGTGCGTGAGGCGAGTGGTCTTACGGGTTAAACCAAACTCGGGTGATATTTTACACTAAACCGAAAACCCACAACACTCTAAATGTAATAAAAGGGAGATCTACACCACAAAAAAGATGAACTCTAAACCAAAACGTAACAGCTTATCCCAACGCAAGAAGCTGTTAGCGAAGATGCTAACAGTAGCTTTACCAACGTTAAGTTCAAGTTACCAAGTTTAAATAAACCAAAAACACCCAGCAGCAAACAGACCAGCACGGAGGAGAGACTGCTACCACCAAAACAGCTCTCCTCATGTCTGAAAGAAGCTCCTTAATGAAGGGAGAAGCGCTCCCGGTGATTTTCTACATCTGCGATAGACACGAAGCAGCGCATCTGACCCCGGAAGTTGTTGTCTGTTGCCGGGAGACGAAGGGGCAAAACAGGAAAATAATCTAGTAGTGGACGGACGTTGTTCCGGGTCTTCGGTATTTGGCGGAGATGTTAGTGAAGGCGAAGAAGAGGGTGAACTAGAGGAAAAACGGGCAGATTCCTCCTCTATTTACAAACTCCTGGGGATGCAACAAGTGGGCGCGGTGCGTCGACTTCCGGATCTGACGTCGACAAATTTTTAGAATCGAGCCGTCGACTTCGTCGAGGCTTCGCTACAGCCTTACTTTTATCAAATGAAGGGTTTTGCAAACAAATAAAAGCCCTTTGTCAAAAAGTAAAAAGGATGAATATGTCAAATAAAGGAAAATGGGAATGGTTTAAATTTGAAACAAAAAGGTTAGCAATTGAAATGGGGGAAATTATGAAAAAAGAGAGAAAATTAAAGCAGAAAGAACTGCTAAAAAGAATCAGCCTACTCTGTGATAAAATTAATAACACAGAGGATGAACTAACAGAGCTAAACTTGCTCCAAAAACAGCTTGACGAAATTTATATAGAAAAAGCGAATGGAGCCTTTGTAAGATCCAGGGCTAAGTGGATTGAAGAAGGCGAAAAGAACTCAACATATTTTTATGGATTAGAAAAGTCTAGACAATCCAAAAAGAAAATATGCAAATTAAAAAAATGACACTGTAATAGTAGACCAAAATCAAATAAAGGAGGAAGTTCAACGTTTTTACTCAGACCTATATAGTTCTAATTTCTGTGAGGAGGAATGTAAATCCTTCTTCACTCAGATAAAGAACAATATTAAATCTATTGGAGAGGAAGACAGAAAAAATCTGGAGGATGATTTGAATATTAAAGAAATAGAAAATTCCATGAAAAAATGGGAAATCGCCTAGGGATGCACCGATGGATCGGCATTTGATCGTAATCGGCCGATAGTGCCCCTATCGGTTTTGATCGGAATTTTCAAAATAGATCAGAGCAAACCGATCAGGTAGGGTTGTCACGGTAACCAGTGTAGCGCTAAACCCCGGTAAAAAAAAAAAGAAAGAAAAAAAGTTGACAATAATAACCGTCTTGTTTTTAAAAAAACTATATTATCTTGGTGGGTTTACCGTGGCTGCGGTGTAGGCGCGGTGACCCTTACCAGCCACAGTATCATCGGCTGAAGTTGCCGGCGGCACATGCACGCTTTGTTTACAACAAAACTTTCTTGAAGCTAAAGCTGAAATAATGGTCAAAGGAGGAGACGGCAGCGCTCAGGAGGACATTTATTATCCCTCAAAGAAGACAAAGTCGGAAGTACAGGCATCTTTTAGATATTTGAAGAATGCCGAGGGAGTTTATGGAAGACGGACGGCTATCCTGTTTGCAGCACGAGCAGAAAAAGTGTCTGTGAAAGGCAGCAACGCTTCTTATCTCATGACACATCTGCATGACCATCACCCACAACTCTACAGTCAACGCAAGGCAAGCTAACGTTAGCGTTTTAGCTAAAATGCGTGATCCGAGGATTTGGGTTGAGGGAGAATGCAACGAGTCGCTATATAAAGCAGCCGCAGCGCCGCTACCTGCATATAAACAGTGTCACGGACACCTCCATGTTGAAATGACGCTATGCATTACGGGGCTCCCAGGGGCAGATAAGAGTTGGTCTCTCTCCGAGAATAATTATGAATTTAACAATGATTACTGCCTGATGACATTTTCCCACATCTGCAACGCTCACTGGAAGGACACAAACCGAGGACGATATTTTCCTGATATAGGGTTTATTACTCAAGTAAGGGTAAAAAAGTATCTGATTAGAAGGCTACTTGAGTACTGAGTATCATCTGATCTAATATTTTTAAAATGATGACATCAAACAGACATAAAATAAGAAGTTATGGGCAAATATGGGTATTTTAAAGACTAAAGGGGAAAAATGTAAACAAATAAACAACTTAATTACAAAATAACACATTTTAGGCAAAATTTAGACACAAACTGAGGACAATATTTTCCTGATATACAGGGTTTATTTAATTGTGTGAAAATGTAGCATGTTTAAAAAAAATACCGCGATAATACCGAAAACCGTGGTCATTTTGGTCACAATAACCGTGAGGTTAAATTTTCACACCGTGACAACCCTAACCCCCAAATTCCACTACCTCCGCTCCGACACGAACGCCGGAGCAAAATCGGTCCCGTTGTAGTCAATCAGAGCAATTCCACTACTGCGGCCGTGCTCCGGCAGTGCGGCGCCATGCGCCGCCCTCTGTTCCGGCGTCCGGCAAAAATAGAATCGATCCTATTTTCGCCAGACGCCGGAGCACCTCCGCAGTAAATGGACAGAAATCACAACGGCCCAACAGGAAAAGGAGCGAGCACAATTTCCGTTTTTCACAATAAATCGATAAACAAAAGGCGTTTTTTGTTTCATATGCACAGGTTTAACACCTTTTAACAACTATCAATGGCGGCTGAAGTTTAAATGCACAAAAGTAAGCCATAAATACAGTTTCTACTATCAAAGTAGTCACACTTTGTTGATCCAAACACTGCTGATCTGTCAACACAAATGATGGGCAGATTAAACAGCTCATGCCTATGTTTCTCCCACACAACGGGTGTTTGGATCTAACTTCCGCGTTTACTGCTCGGACTGTATCGCAAGATCTCGAAAATCCCGCGCATGCTTGTTTGCCCCCCTCAGGTCTCCGCACCGGAGCGGAGCCGTTGTAGAGCGGGTACCAGTAAAAATTGAGTTCGGAAGCGAGTGGCTGCGGAAGGCGGGGGCGGACCGGAGCGGAGGTAGTGGAATTTGGGGGTCATACAGACCATTTTAGATTAGGTTACATTTCCTTTATTCCCAGATTATGTAGTTTGTAGCACTCATTATAATGTTGTAGAAAATTTCTGGCCAATGAACGTGATCGGTATCGGTGATCAGCATTCTTTGATATCGGTATCGGTGATCGACAGCAAAAAACCTGATCGGTGCATCCCTAAAATCGCCCGGTATTGATGGATTGGCCTCGGAATTTCTTACATTTTTTTTGGGAAGATGTTCAAGAATTGTTATTAAGTACATTTAATGAGGTTATAAATGAAGGATGTCTTACCCCAACAATGAAAACTGGAATAATAACCCTTCTTCCCAAACCAAAAAAAGATACAACAGACTTAAACAACTAGAGGCCAATTACTCTGTTGTGCAATGATTATAAATTATTAGCGCTATTATATGCAGAAAGACTGAAAACGGTAATTGATGAAATAGTAGATGATAATCAGTCTGCATTTATAAAAGGAAGAAGCATACATAATAATGTGAGATTAGTACTGGATATGCTGGATTATAGGTCTTTTTTGGAAAAGGACAGCCTCGTTTTATTTATAGACTTATTTCAAAGCTTTTGATTCTATAGAACATAATTTTTTATTTTCCACCCTAGAATATTTCGGTTTTGGAAAAAGAATTTGTTCAGAGATAAAAATGTTCTATACTGATATTAACAGTTATGTTTCCTTAAACCCAGGATTAACAAAAAGAATAAATATAACTTGTGGAATAAGTCAAGGATGTCCAATCAGCCCCAAACTGTTTATCTTATGTACACAACTATTAGCATATCTAGTAATAAATCATCCAAATTTTCAGGGTATAAATTTTTTTGATTATGAATTTCGTTTAAGTCAGTTTGCAGATGACACTGTTTTTTTCTAAAGGATAAATCTATGGTTAACAAAGCATTACAAATTATTTCAATTTTTTTCCAAAGCATCAGGTCTTCGTCTGAACACAAAAAATTGTGAGTTTCTTTCACTGTATGAATGCACAGATAATGAGATAATGTCAATTCCTGTTAAAAAATATATTAAATATCTAGGAGTTAAGATAGTTGCAGACGAAAAACAAAGAGAAGAAATCAATATGAAAGAAAAAACTGATCAAATACAAAAAACTCTGAACCAATGGCTTAGCAGAGATCTTTCTATTTTTGGGCAAAATTTATTGTCCAAGTCTGGGGGTATTTCCCAATTGATCTATCCATGTCAATCTCTTCATATCGCTCCAAAAACAGTGAAAAATATTAACGCTATTATATACAAATTTATATGGAGAAATAAAACCCACTATATAAAAAGATCCCAGTTAGTCAATGAACATAAAAATGGAGGTATGAAATCTGGATTTTGAAGCAATGCTGGGAACATTTAAAACAAAGTGGCTGAAAGAATTTCTAATAAAGACAGATGCAATTTGGTTTCATATTCCAAAAAATGTCTTCAAGAAATTTGGGGGGCTAAACTTTCTTTTGAAATCACTAAATTGCCTTTTAAATTATCTGAATTTCACAAACAAGTATTGCATTATTGGAAGATGGTATTTACCCATAATTTTACTCCTCATTGTGCCACCTTGTGGAATAATCGAGTAATTGTTGCAAACAAAGTCTTTGTTTAAACAACAGTGGTTTGATCAAGGAATTATCTTTGTACACGATATTATGGATAAAGATGGTGAAATACTACAGTTACATAATTTTGAATACAAATTTAATAACATTCAATGTTCTCTTCAGGAATATAAGAAAGTATGTAAGGCTCTACCAGTGACTTTGATACAAATGGTAAAAAACACAATTCTCTTCTCTAATGTTCAATACCACTTCCTAATTTATAAATAGGAGAATTGAACATCACAGCAAGAAAATGTGAAAATAAATTTTTAAATGGAGCCTTTAAAAAATATACCCCTAACCCACAGACGAGGAACTCCTGGAGGCCACGCAGGAATCTCCAGAGCTCCTTGCTGCAGTCCTCCCTCCCCCACCTCCTGCTGCCAGCTCTAAGGTGAGGCATCAGACATTAATTCAATTCAAAGAAACTTCATTAATCCCAGAGGGAAATTAGTTTCAGTACACAATTCTGAGAGCAGACATATATGGGCATAGACAAATGACAAGAATTGGTGACTGCAACCCGAGTCGCCTTTCTCACTCTGCTGCTTTGTTTTCTCTCTCTCTAGATGCTGCCTGAGTCCTGGCAGGCAGCTCTGACTGCAGAACAGCAGGAGTGGATCGGCCGGGTGCTGTTCACCAGGGACGATGCTGGGAGGCCGCATCTCATCACGGAGCTCAGTCCCTGGTGGTACCCTCCCCAGCCCCGGGCGGTCTACAATCAGCCTCCCGCCTCTCCCGACCCCTTCTTTGCATGTCGGCTCTTCCTGTGGATGCCTCACAGGATGTGGCACCTGCAGCTGACGTGCCCCCAGCCTTTGTGCAGCGGCATCCTGATAAAGGCTGGGCTCTACAGGACCATCCGGAGGGTCCTGGACATCGACGGCTGGTATCTCATGGCCACTGAGTACCTGGAGTGCCGTCGATGTAAGAAGAAGGTCGGAGGGTGGTCACAGGGCATCTTAAGGCAGCTGCCCCCCACCTACAGCTGCCAGTTCCCAGCTGTCCTCACGTACAAGTATGAGAAGAGTGAAACTGTGCTCATGCGGGTGTGTCCAGCAGAGTATAATGTGGTAATGTTTGTTTTGTTCACGCAGGCTGTCCTGTGACCAGAGGGTGGTTGCTATGCTGAGATCTCGCACTCTGGGCAACAGTGCCACTCAGCTGTGCAACACCCTGCGGGAGCAGCATTCCGACGCCTGGATGCGGAGAGCGATTCAGTACCTCGGCGTCTGCGAGCAGTTCCTGGCCTTGGGTACCGCGAGGGGGCAGATCGCACCACCTCCCCAGATGCCCCCTGTGCCCTCACCCGTCTGGCTGCTGACCGTTTACGGTTACGACGTGCTGACGCGGCTGGACGAGTACAAGGCCAGGATCACGTCCACCTTCGGATCCATCCTAAAGATGGATTCCACAAAGAAGGTCGGTCACCGCGTTGTGTTTACTTGCTGCTTGTGAACAACAGTTCTGCTGGTCCTTACGCAGGAAGTTCTCTGTGTGCAGGTGACGAAGAAGCTCGCAGGTGCCGCCTCTGGCACGGCCGCCTGGGCTACCAACGTGGGCAACGAGCACGGCCAGGTCCTCATGAGCGTCCTCACTTGCTGCGAGGGCTCCGAGGGCCTGTCCAAGATGGCGGCCGGACTGATGAGGCGGTACCGATTAGCCGAGGTACCTGCCCCCCAGCTCATCTACGTGGACCGCGACTGCTGCAGACAGGACGGCGTGTCCAAGACGGCTGCCTTATTTCCGGTATAAACTTGCATCGTTGCTGACTGACTTATTTAGTTGTTTATTTAATTTTTCATAGCAATGATTCATTACTTTGTTGTGAATTACTTTAATGGATCACCAGGTCACCTGAATTTCTACCCAATGTCTTTCTGAAAATTTTAAAACAATCAGACACCCAAATAAATTTCTGTAAAAGACAATTTATAGAGCAGTGAATGTTTTTGGGGTTCTGATCTTGACTGTGGTGCAGGTAAAACATGGTGTGCAACACTCCAATGACTAACCTCTCTGTCGCAGGAGTGGGAACGGCTCATTGTTCGGCTGGACATCTGGCATCTGATGCACCGCTTCGCATCAGGTGTCACCACGGAGAGCCACGAGCTGTATCCCACCTTCATGAGGCAGCTGTCTTACTGCATCTTCGAGGTGGACGCCGAAGATGCTCGCCGTCTCGTGGGAGCCAAGCGGTCCGAGCTGGAGGGGACGCACGGGATGGTCAACCTGACGGACGCTGATGTGATCCAGCGGATCAGCAAGGAGGAATGGAGGCTCCACTGCCGCAGGAGGACGCGTGGAGCAGAGGAGTCGACGCTCCTCATCCAAAACCTCCTTGACACCTTCAGAGGGCCCGCAGGACACAACACGCTGAACATCCCGTTGCTAAACGCTCTCCGCATCCAGGACATCTGGGACACGCAGAGGCGCCACCTCAGCTGCATCCAGGACCCCCCTGGCATGCAGCTGTACACCCAGACGGGCAGTCTGCAAAAAGGAGGGGTCAGACTGCCCATCTATCGCTGCGCGAGGGGCTCCACTTCCCTGGAGTCCTTCCATCTCCACCTGAACCGCTTCATCCCAGGTGAGAAACCAGAATCTGTCAAGAAATCAGTTTTATTTCTGTAAACTGTTCCTTTTCAGGTGTCAGTAAAAGCTTAAGCTGATTTTATAATCTAATCACGCAGGAACGTCGGCCAGTGCCAAGTACTTCCAGGCGTTCCTGATTGATGGACTGGTCAGGTGGAACGAGGACCGCGCAGCGGCAGCTGAGGGACACGAGGCGCCTCTGCTGTCCTACAGTGGCCACCTCAGGCACACCCTTAACCAGAAGAGCCAAAGGGTGTTTGGTCATCAGATGGTTAAGGACTTCACCAAGCCTGCTGCTTACACAGGTAGAGGAACAGAGAAACACGGTTTATTTACTCGTGATTTTTAATGACACTGTGCACCAATACTTTGCTAAGAAGGAGCTTTGAACCGTTTACATTTCCACAAAATCTCAGGTGAGCTCATCGGGGTGGAGTACTTGTTCCAGCAGACGGGCCGCGTGCTTGAGGACGTCAGCATGGACCCTGACGCTCCGGACGAGGCTGCTGCCATCACCGACCTGGACGAGGTGGACGAGGGTATCCAGGAGGATGTGGGCGACCATGTCGCCGCCTTCGTCCTTGACGACCCAGCCACCAGCACTTCAGGAGCAGCCCGGTCAGGGGATCCAGCTGTCGCACCCGGGTCTGAGCCAGCACATCCTGCCGCCCCTGCGCATCACGCCCCTCCCGAGGTCCCTGGAAGCCAGACTCCTGAAGAGAAACACTCCTCTGATTCAGAGGTCTTTGATCCCCCCTCTGCTAATCATTTCACAGCTGACCCACCTAATTTTGTTTTTTCACGTATTCAGAGATATTTCAGAAATTTGACTTCTTTTTCCCATTTTCTTTGTTGCTCAGGAGGAGATCCAGGGTCCTGACGGCCAGACAGGATACCAGCATGTCCTGAAGCTGGCTCAGGCCCTGGTGGAGCTCAGGAGTCTCCAGGGACTGTCTGACAGCAGGGTAGACAGACTCATCGTGCTTTGGCAACGCCTGCCAGATCGTGACAAACGACGGATCGTCTACCCTAGCAGATGCCGGGAGAGGCTAGACGCCAGCCGTGTGGTGGAGGCCATGTGCAGCCAGCTCTGCCGTCTGCACCCTGCGGCCAGTCGCGTGGACGGGGTCAGCAGGTCACGCTGGTTCCTAATCCGCGACGACTACATGGCCGTCAGACAGGTGGTGCTGTATTGCCCGAGGCTGATGGCTCAGACCCAGCTTCATCTCTATGAGCTGAACCAGAAGACCATCTCTCAATGGTGAGAACTGGTAGATATTTCCTCGTGTTTCAGACTTCAGGTTAAAGCTTGCAGCCTCAACTCAGCTCATCCTCTTGTCCTTCCAGGTTCAGCCATAGACAGAAGGGGTGGGAGAAAGGTGTGCTGGAGCAGGGAACTGGCACCGTTTCTGCTCCAACTTTCTCCCACCAGCCCATCCCTTCTGTGAAAGGGCTGTCCTCCGTACAGGTGGGAAGAGGACAGCCCTTTAAATACAACCTCCCTGAGGAGCAACAACCTGGTCCCTCCTCCAGGGGACTGCCACCGCCACCACTACCTCCGCCTGCTCCTCATCCCGGTCCCTCTACCAGCTGCAACCTCCCTCCTTCTTCTGCTCAGAGCCTGCGCGCCATTCGTCCCTTCCCGGGGTCCACTCCGCTGACTCCTCCTGTTGTTTTGCCTAGGACAACAGCATTTAGAAGGAGGAAGGCAGCGGAGGCTGCTGCTGCTGCTGGCGTGCAGGCTCCACCATCAAAGACAGCCCGCCAGCAGTTCACCTGCAGCAAATGTGGTCAGCCCAAGCGGCTGGACACTGGCCACACCCGCATTGCAGGTGTGTCGTACTGCGCATCTGTTGGCGGGAAGTCTGTAGAGGAGTGGAAGAAGGAGATGAAGAGCAAGACTGGAGGAGGGCCTGAAAAACAGTGACTTTTTGTGACATTTTCTTCTTTTTTTTTTCAATTTTGGAACTTGTAAATATTGTAAATAATTTTTAGATGTTTTTGTTATTGTGATTTTCAGTATTAAAATGATACACACTTTAAATGTTAGACTATTTTTATGACCTTGGACATAGATACATTTATTACATGTTTTTTATAACATAACAAATATATTTGAACAGATTTTTTTCATATATGTTCTATAATTTTACATGTGTATTATCACATATATTTCACAGCTCAGTGGTTCATCCCAATTTTAACTACATTTAAATTGGTAATTATTTAAAAAGATTTATATAATTAGTATTATTAGTATGTAGTATATATGAATAAGTATTATTATGCATATTATCACTTTATCTTTATTTCCACTTTGTATTCGCACCGAGCGGGAGTCGAACCTACGCACTTGGACTCCGGGAGTGAGCGCGAGAAACTACGAGAAAACAAGCTGCAAGGAGCGAGAAGAACAAGCACCATTCGCCAAGGGGATGACACGCAAATTCGTGAAGCGTTCCTCTTTTTTTTTAAATGACACAATAACCCTAAATGACACTTATGAAGCAGTTAGGGGCGTGTCCCCCTGCTCAGTTCCAACATTTGACCAATCAAATGACTGGGTTGTTCCAATTTTGAGAAGCACAGGTTTTCAGCATCCAATCAGAGAGCTGGATTGTTTCAACTCTGAAATCGATCCTCTTTCACTCCGAGCTGGCGTTCCTCCGCTACTGAAGTGACTGAGACGTACAATTGTTACTTTAACAAAACAATCAGACTTTTAACATGTTAAAAAAACAGTTTTTTGTCCTACGAGCGATGTTTAAGATATGGTAATATTTTCTTCTGAACTAAGGAGGAGGAGAGTAGTTGAAATGATCTTTCACCACAAAGTTCTCTATTTTCTGTATTCTGCTTGTAAAAGCATGTTTTTTATCTGGTATTTCCCTGTTTATGTTCTTTGTTTAATGTTATATTATACTGATCTGCTCGTTGGGAAACTTATTCCACAATTGTACATTTGATGCCTGTACAGTACTCTCCCCATTCCTTTTCACTCTGCAGACTTCCAGAACAAGTCGGAGACCTGTCATCTGCAGAAAGACTCAGACAACTCTGCAGTCGTCGGGTTTATGAGAGATGGTCAAGAGTACAGAGAGCTGGTGGACCACTTTGTGGCGTGGTGTGGGGACACTCACATAATCTTGAATGTGAACAAACCAAATTGGATGATTTAGAAAGAAACGGGAATAGCTCAACATGCATTATTGGGGAGTAGGGGGAGGTGGTGGAAGATTACAAATACCTCGGTGTTCATCTGGACAACAGACTGGACTGGAGACACAAGCATGAAGCCATCTCCAAGAAGGGACAGAGTAGACTGTATATCTTGAATAATATTTTAGATCCTTCAAGGTCTGCAGCAAGAGGCTGCAGATCTTTTACAGGTCTGTTGAGATCTCTTGGGCCACCAGCTGTTGGGGCAGCAGCATCAGAGCCAGCAGGGACCTAAAAAGGCTCAACAACCTGGCAAAAAGGCTGGTTCTGTTCTGGAGACGACTGAGAACCACTGGAGATGATGGTGCAAAGAAGGATTTTTCATAAAATCAATAACATTATAGACAACACTGAGCATCCTCTTCATGCAACAAGCATCTTCTTCAGAGCTGCTGTAACACAGGAGATCCATCCTGCCCACAGCCTTCAGCATCTTTAACCACTCAGATTTCCAACTGAGCTCATTATTATTACTAGTATTTATTTTAATGACTGCTTATCGCTTCACGAGGCGTTGATAACGATAAATGAAAGATAAGTACTATTTGCGCAAAAACAAAAGTAGTCCACTAGAGGGCGCTGTCACTTGTTAGGCAGTTTTTATTATAGTTACGTTTGAAAGTTTTGTTTTAAAAAATAGAAAGCCAGAAACTAAGGATTTGAGTTATCGTGTTTCCATCTAGCTTACCTTTTGCGTTAAAGCCATGGCTGACGTGAAGTTTCTGAACCGACGCTGTGACGTCATTTCCGCTCTTTAGTCAGAACCTCTGATAGGTTTAGTTCACCTTGTTGAACGTTGCTAGACAGCTCGCGAGTGAGATCGTTTTTGAGTTTTCGTGCTTCCGTTTGAGCAACAGCGGAAAGTCTAAGTCTTATAAGGTGTTTGTGACGATAAATTCAAAGTAATAGGCAGACGGACGAGGGGTAGACCTGGAGCGCTGAGCTAAGAAGCTAACGCGCGGCTAAAGAAAGGCTTTCGAAGCTGTTCTTTGACCTAACCACGGCTGAATTCGGTCCGTCTGAGTGCTGTCCCACTTTCCCATGCCCTCAGCCTGTAAGGTGTAACATTTCCTGGTGGAGGAACGAGGTAGGCAGGCAGGGTCCTGTTAAACATGGAGGATGATGAGGTAGCGGAGAGCTGGGAAGAAGCAGCGGACAGCGGGGTGAGTTGGACGCAGCACATTTACAACTTAGGCCGCTTTTAGTTTGATGTGTAAGGAGCCGCCTGACAAAAAAGGAAGACAAGTCAGTGACACCCTCGGCTTAAAGTAAAACATGTTTTTTTTTTCCCTTGTTCAGGCCGTGCCGTCTAACGTTAAAAACAGATTCAAATCTGACTTCGTGACAGTTGAGGCGTTCATATAACCGTGTCATATTCATAAAGTTGACTTTCAAAAGTGAAAATGTGGAAACGGCTAGTACAAATGCCAAGTAGGGTCAGTGTAATTCAAAAGGTATAGCTGATGCGTTCAAATGAAACTATTTTGGTTTGTTTTCCTTTCATCACGTGTTGATCTCTACGTTTAAATACATTTAAATAGCAAGTCACCCCCAAATCAACTTTTTTCCCCTGATAAACTAAATAAACGAGTGTCTAATCATGCTGCAGACACGTTTAGTCAATAGTTTTGCACTTTAGTGCATTTTAGTTAAAATTTTAATTTTCTGCCTAAAACTGTCAGTGTTGTGCCGTTGTCCGGTAAAAACTCTGCACTGTATTTGAATTTAAATCTGCCACCGCTATTGGCTAAGAGGTATACTATGATGTAAACTGGTACATTATGATGTCACAATGCTGTGGTGAGCCTGTGTGTGTGTATTTGTTAGCGGCTCCGCCCTCTCGGTCTGCCAGGCAACAGCATTTGTTGCATCTTTTTAAACATGAAGTGAGAGTGGAGTTAGACTCTGGTATGGGGTGACTTGCTCTTTAAGTGGTTAATTACATTATTAATTTTCATTAAGTTTATTAACAACCAAATCTATAAAGAGCAAGTCAGCCCCAAAGCAGCTTTTTTTAGCTGATGAACAATAAATGAGTATCTAATCTTGCTGTAGACAGTTAAAATGTGAAGTTCTGCCTAAAACTGTCAGCATTGCGCCATCTTCAGGTAAAAACTCTGCACTGCATTCGATTTAAATCTGCCATCATTATTGGCTAAAGCCTGGGGCACATTGGCCGCATCCTAACCCAAGAAGCGCTCAGCAATGCGGCGCATCCGCCTCCAGTGTGCCCCAGGGTTAAGAAGGTACCCTATGACGTTAGCTGGTGCATTATAATGTCACAATATCGTCGTGAGTAGGGCTGCACAATAAATCGCAAATATATCGTCGTGATATCAGCATGGGCATTACTCATATCGCAAAGAACAGATAAATATCGCAATGAATGGTCAGCTCAAATGTTTGCTACACATAATGCATTCTGTCAGTCAAATGGAAGCATGATGTTTTTTAACAAATCAAATAGAGCTCTTCACCCATTTGGCTACTTGGGTGGGTTCTCATAGGTTAGATGCCCGGCCCCAAGGTGAACAGTATTTCATTTTGATGGTTAGGAAACTCCTGAGTTAGCTTTGTTCTGCTCTTTCTGCTGATTCTGCTTTTCCCGGGATCCACTGATCGTCTTTTTTTATTCATTTTCTTTTTCCCTTCCCTCACATCTTTTGCTTTTCTCATTTTTATGAATTATTTTTTGTCATTTTAAAATTTCTTTGTTTTTGATCATTTTGGTTCCCAAGTTATTTTTATTTATCGCAAGTAATATTCATCATCGCAGTATTAATCACCGTTATTGCATATCACAGCTTTTCCTAATATCGTGCAGCACTAGCCGTGAGCCTGTGTGTATTAGCGGCGGCGCCCTCTTGATCTGCCAGGCAACAGCCTTTGTTGCATTTTTCAAACAGGAAGTGGGAGTGGAGTAAGACTCTGGTAGGGGGTGACTTGCTCTTTAAAGGTTGTGATATGATTACAGTAATTATAATTATCTGTATTTGTATTTTGTATTTTTGTGTTTGTATAAACGGGACGTACATTGTTCCAGACCTACAGTGCTCGTGTCCTTTCTCAGTACACTTGGCTTAATGAAGGGAGATTACACTAAGAAGTTGTTGTTTCTGCTCACACAGCTGGGGTTTAGGTAGCTCACACACAGGTACAACAGATCTAATTTGAGAGTTATGTGGTATTTTATGTTTATATATATCTACATATTTAAACAGTCATTTATTGGAAAAATAAATAGATCATTATAATAATCCTCAGGAAATTGAGAGAAGACTTGAAGCAAAGTTGAAGATAAATCAGGAGACAAAGTAAGTAACCAGATCCTTTTACTTCCTGTTTTTGTTTATTTTTACTGCACCACTAATTGTTTTGCTGTTTTTATTTTTGTAGGAAGTCCAGTGTAAAATCTGCAGGTTCTCCAGTGCGAACTGCTGTCGTAATCCAAGATGACTCTCTGCCTGCAGCACCTCCACCTCAAATCCGAATTTTAAAGCGTCCCACTAATAACGGCACCACAGGAAACTCGGCGTCCTCGTCCCGTCCCTCACAGCAGATGAAGTCTTTGGCTCAACGGGAGGCAGAATACGCTGAAGCCCGAAGAAGGATTTTGGGAAGTGCTTCGTCAGAAGAAACGCCTCAGGACAGCCCAAGCCACGATAGGTGAGACAAATTATCAATAACTTGGGAGTTAAACATGTTAAAGGGCTGTTTGCTACTTGTTTTTTTCTCTTTTTTCTCGTACTACCAGGGCTACTCGTGTGAGTGTGCAGCAACCTTTAGAACCAGTTCGTCCAAACAATCAGGTGATCCGTCAACCCACTGGCCCAGATGGCACCTTGGGCTTCCGGCTCTGCAGATAAAGGGACGCTGCCAGCTGTAAGGAACAGTTTCCCCCCTTTACAGAACAGGGCGGGTGGGGAATTCAGAGGGGTTGTTTGTGTGTGGTTTGGAGAGCAGAGTGGTGAGATGACCTCAAATTTAACTGATAGAATATTTACGAAGACCCAACATGGACTCAGATGAACTTCTTCACCCTCTCTCTACTCTGCTCACTAGTTTAGTCTTTGCCTTCTTTTGAGAGGCTGGCAGAGATCTAAGATTTGAAACCTCTCCTGCCGCCAGCATAACCAGGCTTGGGTTGCACCCCTCCACACACACACTGTGAAACTGCGATGTACCGTGATGTGCTCTGAGTCTGGTCAGCTGCACATACCCCCCCACAAACCCCCACCCCCCCGCCAGGTGTCTGTCTCTTCAGGGAGAAGAGAGAGAACTTGTTAATCTGTGGGAAATCCTCCCAGATGTGCAAGAAGAAGAGCCTTTCATCCCACTAAAGGAGCAAAGGTCACAGCTCGGTGTCCAAGAGGAAGGTGGCCATAGTTTGTGCTCAGAAAAAGTTATTACAGTGCCAAGAACTGACTTCATGTTTAGCAGACTGAGTGTGAAGTGATGGCAAGTCATGTCGATCGGACCTTTTCTGCAAATGTGCACAGCGCTGAATCAATGTGCAAATGAAGGCTGTGTCTCAGCAGAACGCTGCTCGGCCCTCAGGCCCACACTCAGCACCGGTAGCCCGGCTGGTACGCAGCCTCTGGCCCAAAGCTTTGATCCCAGTGGCAGGATCACTAAAAGTTTTTACAAGCAATAACAATGAAATGACTTCCTGGATTTCTTTTTTCTTTGTCTTGTTTTAAGCTGTTAACGTTGTCCATTTGTGTGTTTTTCTTTTTGCCTGGTGACCGTTGATGTAAATCAGGAGGATAGTAAAGTTCAGAAAAGTAGGGAGACTTTGTTTGTAGTGCTTAATTTATTTTCATACACTTGACGAAAGTCGGTAACTAAGAATCAAAACTTGTGGTTTTCATATCGGTTTAAAATCAGAGTTTGATCTCGTCTCGAGTCAGATTCGTGTTTACGCAGCAGCACATTAATAATAGTCTTATATCATGCTTATAACTCACACAGACAGGGTTACGTCAAGCCCGCTGTGGGGAAAACGCATCTGATGCTACGTTTTAGCAAATATTTTGCCAGTGTTGAGGAAGAAATGGCAAAAACTGGTCAAAACCTGCTTTTTAAACAGTGACCTTTGAAATACAGCCTGAACCTCTCTTCCTGGGTCTGAATGTCTTCCTGTGGTGTTTTACCCACGGCAGAATTTTACTAAATGTTTGCTCGTTTTCCACAGAATCAGAAGAAGAGCTTATAAAGTGTAAAAATAAGTCAAGTCTTTTTGAATTCTTAGACATTTATGCCTTAAATGATAAATGAACCCTGCTTGCTAACAAACAAAAACCTTGTTTCTATGGTTGATCTGTGAAGCTTCTGATGGGCTTCTGGAGGAACTACCGTAATTTCCGGACTATAGAGTGCATTTCAATATAAGCCGCACCAACAAAAAAAAAAAAAAAAAAAGCTTTTCTACACACACACACGCCGCACTCAAATACAAGCCGCGGCGCAGCAGCCACATGCAGGTCTCCGGCGCATAGCGCATGTACGGCCATTACATAAGATAATTAGACAGAAAGACGCCACACTGAGGTTTTTCGTTGTTGTTTTAATTCAACAAAACAAATTTTAAACACGGGTGAATGTGCCTGCAAGTTTAGAAATGAAAACAGCACTGATAGCATTCATATTTCTGGATGGTTATAAGATAAAAACAGCACTGACACGTTATTACCGTTAATTTGCATGTTTAGAAGAAAAGAACAGCGCTGACACAGCATTAATAAGCCCTGGATGATTAGAAAATAAAAACTGCACACAAAACATGCCTGTTAGTAAATAAAACACACTTGCCTACCAGAAAAAGTCTAGCTCTCATCTTCCTCTTGCGCACTAAAGCCATTAAAGCCTTCTTCTTCAGTGTCGGAGTTGAACAGCCTCAGAAGAGCTTCGTCACAGACCTTTTCTGTGGCGATGTCAGTGTTGCTGTCCGTGTTGCTGTCATCATCCCCGGGTGAAGCCGGCTTGAATGAGTTCTTCCCGCTGCCGTCTCCAGCGCCGAGCCATGGATTCATTCATGCCAAGCTTACGTGCGGCAGCACTGTTTCCCTCCTTTACTGCCAGATCGATGGCCTTCAACTTAAATGCGGCATCATATGAACTCATACGTGTAGTTACCATGATGAGGGGGTATGGATTTGAAAAAGATTCTTCGTCGTGCCAGCTGCTTGCATGTGCTATTTTAAAATGAGCACTTTCTTCGATTTCCACTTTTGACTTCCACCTGTTTCACTTTCTGCGAAAGCGCCCCCTGGCAGGTGAAGGAAAATCTTCAGTAAAGCCGCACCTCATTATAAACCGCATGGTTCAAAGCGTGGGAAAAAAGGTAGCGGCTTATAGTCTGGAAAATACGGTACTTAATGCTTACAAAGAGCAGAGTTTTTACTCAATTCAATTCCTTCTATGTTTCTTTAAAACCAGTTGCAGACTGAAGGGAAGTAAAATTCCTTTGATGTTTTGAAAGCTAAACTTTTATTAATGGCATGTGTTGGGATCTACTGTAGGAGGAATCTTGGAACAAACTGATTTGGGAGCATCTGGTTTGGATAATTGACTTTAGAGAAGTTTTTTATTAATATACACAGTCTCTTTCAGGTGTTGAAACTTAAGGGATACGTTATGACCTTATATCAATAAGCAGATACCCAACATGCTATCGGTGTGATCAGATCACAATGCTTTTCTTTCACAGCCAGGTGTCCTGTTTGATGCTCATGTGATGCAATTGTTTTGAAACTTGAAAAACCCTACAGAAAACTGAATACCCTTTAATAAACTCATTTAAACATGATACTTGTAGTTTTTTGTTTGTTTGTTTGTTTTTTATAAAAGATCTGGCAATTATTATTTAAGCTGAACCAACATTAAGCCAGTTTTAAAATAAAATGTCATCTGGACTTCATGTTAGTTTCACGTATAAAGTAATATCGAACATGAATCATATTAATACTGTTTAGTTGTTATTTCGTCTATAATTTGAATATTAATCCCAGGACAAACTCGTGTTTACAGCAGATTGACAGTTACGTCTACAACCTCCGGACACCGGGTGGCGCTGTTTGAAGCTGGCGGCGCGGCGTCAACCACCAAGCAGCTTCAGCACGGGCGTCCATTGAAAGTCGGAAGTTGTTTTTTGGTTTGTGAAACTTGACAAAATGGCAGAGGACAACAGTTATGAGTCGATGCTGTGTGTGAAGCCAGAGGTTCATGTTTACCGGATCCCGCCGCGGGCCTCCAACCGCGGATATCGGTAAGAAAGCTTCTTTCTGGCGAGTCGGAAAAAGTGTTTGTCAGCAGGCTAGTTTAACTGTCATGTTTCCATTATCGGACTAACAAGCTGTCAACCAAACTGGTCTGAAGACACTCGACAGCTACGGACTCTTTTTCTTAGTTCTCACTAAAGGTTCGTATATTGGGAAAGTTTAACAATATCAACTGGCAGCAGCGAGCTAATAGCTAGAAACACCACCATCAGTGTTTTTTGTTTACAAATGTTTTATTTGAGTTAAGAAGAAACATGTTCTTGTTTTAACGGATTGTTTTACATCATTCACTCTGAAACTGGTTATGAGAAAATCCAAATAAATCAAATTCCCTTTCAGTTTTCACTCTGTGTGTAAAATGGTAAACTTCGGTGGATTGATTTTGATCATTGTTTACATTTTAAAACACAAAAGTGTGTGTGTGTGTGTGTGTGTGTGTGTGTGTGTGTGTGTGTGTGTGTGTGTGTGTGTGATTTCAGGTTTTGTTTTGTATTCACATTCTAAACTAACCCCAATAATCTATATTGGTCAGATGGTACTTATACAACTTTTATTATCTTTAAAAACAAGCAACTGGGAGTTTCCCTGTTTGTCTTTTTTCGATCTTTTAGGCAGATTTTAATTTCACTTCCTCATTATGTTGGACAAGTAAAGCTGCTAAAACAAACGCAGAGACAGGAGCTCCTTTAAATGAGGATTTACATGAATGGTTCCCTAATCCGGTGGGTTTTTCCTGCTTCTTTCATCTAGAGCTGCTGACTGGAAACTGGATGAACCTGCGTGGAGCGGTAGGATGAAAATCACAGCCAAAGGAAAGATGGCTTTCATCAAGCTGGAGGACAAAAACACAGGTAAACCTTATCATGAGCCTCACAGCCAAATACCTTAGTTGTGCTGTGAAACAAGTCCTTTTTTGTATGAACTGGTTTCAACACAGCCTGAAACTCTTCTCAGTGATCATGGGTCAAAGGACAGCAGTTATGATCATTCTTTGTTTAGGGATGCACCGATCAGGTTTTTTGCTGCCGATACCGATATCAAAGAATGCTGATCACCGATACCGATCACGTGGATTGGCCAGAAATTTTCTACAACATTATAATGAGTGCTACAAACTACATAATCTGGGAATAAAGGAAATGTAACCTAATATAAAATGGTCTGTATTAAAGTTGTCACGGTGTGAAAATTTAACCTCACGGTTATTGTGACCAAAATTACCACGGTTTTCGGTATTATCGCGGTATTTTTTTTAAACGTGCTACATTTTCACACAATTAAATAAACCCTGTATGTCAGGAAATATTGTCATCAGTTTGTGTCTAAATTTGCCTAAAATGTGTTATTTTCTAATTATGTTGTTTATTTGTTTACATTTTTCCCTTTAGTCTTTAAAATACCAATATTTGCCCATAACTTCTTATTTTATGTCTGTTTGATGTCATCATTTTAAAAATATTAGATCAGATGATACTCAGTACTCAAGTAGCCTTCTAATCAGATACTTTTTTTTACCCTTAATTGAGTAATAAAGCCTATATCAGGAAAATATCGTCCTCGGTTTGTGTCCTTCCTGTGAGCTTTGCAGGCAGTAATCATTGTTAAATTCATAATTATTCTCGGAGAGAGACCAACTCTTATCTGCCCCTGGGAGCCCCATAATGCATAGCGTCATTTCAACATGGGGGTAGGGATGCACCGATGGATCGGCATTTGATCGTAATCGGTCGATAGCGCCCCTATCGGTTTTGATCGGAATTTTCAAAATAGATCAGAGCAAACCGATCAGGTAGGGTTGTCACGGTAACCAGTGTAGCGGTAAACCCCGGTAAAAAAAAAAAAAGAAAAAAAGTTGACAATAATAACCGTCTTGTTTTTAAAAAACTATATTATCTTGGTGGGTTTACCGTGGCTGCGGTGTAGGCGCGGTGACCCTTACCAGCCACCGTATCATCGGCTGAAGTTGCCGGCGGCACATACACGCTTTGTTTACAACAAAACTTTCTTGAAGCTAAAGCTGAAATAATGGTCAAAGGAGGAGACGGCAGCGCTCAGGAGGACATTTATTATCCCTCAAAGAAGACGAAGTCGGAAGTACAGGCATCTTTTAGATATTTGAAGAATGCCGAGGGAGTTTATGGAAGACGGACGGCTATCCTGTTTGCAGCACGAGCAGAAAAAATGTCTGTGAAAGGCAGCAACGCTTCAAATCTCATGACACATCTGCATGACCATCACCCACAACTCTACAGTCAACGCAAGGCAAGTTAACGTTAGCGTTTTAGCTAAAATGCGTGATCCGAGGATTTGGGTTGAGGGAGAAGGCAACGAGTCGCTATATAAAGCAGCCGCAGCGCCGCTACCTGCATATAAACAGTGTCACGGACACCCCCATGTTGAAATGACGCTATGCATTACGGGGCTCCCAGGGGCAGATAAGAGTTGGTCTCTCTCTGAGAATAATTATGAATTTAACAATGATTACTGCCTGATGACATTTTCCCACATCTGCAAAGCTCACTGGAAGGACACAAACCGAGGACGATATTTTCCTGATATAGGGTTTATTACTCAAGTAAGGGTAAAAAAGTATCTGATTAGAAGGCTACTTGAGTACTGAGTATCATCTGATCTAATATTTTTAAAATGATGACATCAAACAGACATAAAATAAGAAGTTATGGGCAAATATTGCTATTTTAAAGACTGAAGGGGAAAATGTAAACAAATAAACAGCTTAATTACAAAATAACACATTTTAGGCAAAATTTAGACACAAACTGAGGACAATATTTTCCTGATATACAGGGTTTATTTGTGTGAAAATGTAGCATGTTTAAAAAAAATACCGCGATAATACCGAAAACCGTGGTCATTTTGGTCACAATAACCGCGAGGTTAAATTTTCACACCGTGACAATCCTAACCCCCAAATTCCACTACCTCCGCTCCGCTCCGCTCCGACACGAACGCCGGAGCAAAATCGGTCCCGTTGTAGTCAATCAGAGCAATTCCACTACTGCGGCCGTGCTCCGGCAGTGCGGCGCCATGCGCCGCCCTCTGTTCCGGCGTCCGGCAAAAATAGAATCGATCCTATTTTCGCCGGACGCCGGAGCACCTCCGCAGTAAATGGACAGAAATCACAACGGCCCAACAGGAAAAGGAGCGAGCACAATTTCCGTTTTTCACAATAAATCGATAAACAAAAGGCGTTTTTTGTTTCATATGCACAGGTTTAACAACTTTTAACAACTATCAATGGCGGCTGAAGTTTAAATGCACAAAAGTAAGCCATAAATACAGTTTCTACTATCAAAGTAGTCACACTTTGTTGATCCAAACACTGCTGATCTGTCAACACAAATGATGGGCAGATTAAACAGCTCATGCCGATGTTTCTCCCACACAACGGGTGTTTGGATCTAACTTCCGCGTTTATTGCTCGGACTGTATCGCAAGATCTCGAAAATCCCGCGCATGCTTGTTTGCCCCCCTCAGGTCTCCGCACCGGAGCGGAGCCGTTGTAGAGCGGGTACCAGTAAAAATTGAGTTCGGAAGCGAGTGGCTGCGGAAGGCGGGGGCGGACCGGAGCGGAGCGGAGGTAGTGGAATTTGGGGGTCATACAGACCATTTTAGATTAGGTTACATTTCCTTTATTCCCAGATTATGTAGTTTGTAGCACTCATTATAATGTTGTAGAAAATTTCTGGCCAATGAACGTGATCGGTATCGGTGATCAGCATTCTTTGATATCGGTGATCGGCAGCAAAAAACCTGATCGGTGCATCCCTACATGGGGGTGTCCGCGACACGGTTTATATGCAGGTAGCGGCGCTGCGGCTGCTTTATATAGCGACTCGTTGCATTCTCCCTCAACCCAAATCCTCGGATCACGCATTTTAGCTAAAACGCTAACGTTAGCTTGCCTTGCGTTGACTGTAGAGTTGTGGGTGATGGTCATGCAGATGTGTCATGAGATTTGAAGCGTTGCTGCCTTTCACAGACACTTTTTCTGCACGTGCTGCAAACAGGATAGCCGTCTTCTATCAACTGTCCCTCTGCATTCTTCAAATATAAAAAAAAAATGCCCGTACTTCCCACTTTGTCTTCTTTGAGGGATGATAAATGTCCTGAGTGCTGCCTTCTCCTCCTTTGGCCATTATTTCAGCTTTAGCTTCAAGAAAGTTTTGGTTGTAAACAACAAAGTGCGCATGTGCCGCCGGCAACTTCAGCAGATGATACGGTGGCTGGTAAGGGTCACCGCTCCTACACCGCAGCCACGGTAATCCACCGAGATAATATAGTTATTAAAAAAACAAGACGGTTATTATTATTGTCAACTTTTTTTTACCGGGGTTTACCGCTACACCGGTTACCGTGACAACCCTACCTGATCGGTCTGCTTTGATCTATTTTGAAAACTCCGATCAAAACCGATAGGGGCGCTATCGGCCGATTGGGATCAAATGCCGATCCATCGGTGCATCCCAATCTTTGTTAACCAGGCTTGGAAATGAGGTGTTTTATGTTACTTGATGCTGCTTCTTCACAAAATCAGTCACCCTGACTCTTTATACACAACAAGAACATTATTAATCCTGTTGTGTGTGTTATCTACACTTATCTCCTAACAACAAACACTCAGAAAAGTGTTGTTTGTTCAGTTCAGAACATCGAAGAACAGCATCGAGTCTTGTGTGAAGGTGTGTTTCTTCTGGTGACTTTGTGCCGTTTCACATTTGATTTTGCAAACTGTCAAACAGAAAACTCTCTGAGCTGAAAGTTGGCTCCATTGTCATACTAGGCTTGGGTGGTATTACAGTATACAGCCGGTGTTGAAATGAGCAACAGCGTCGGTTCCAATACCGTCATAAAAAAATCGGTGCACACAGGAGACGAGGATTAAATACGTGATTTTAAAAAAATAAAAAAGGTAAATTTAATGTGAAAAACGGATGCATGGTTGAATTTTCAGTTTTCCTTGAGCAGTTTAAAATGTTTTGTCCAAATTTTAGAGGTGTTCCATAGAGTTTATGAACGTGATGTCATCACGTGACAGCGTAGAGGAGACGCACCGGGAGTGACGTGGAGAAAAGGGGCAGGTCGTGCACCAACTGACTTGGTGTCTACAAAGAACACCACTTCTGCAGTTTGGGAGTATTTCTGGTTCGAAGCAAACTTAACAGGAGAGCCGGTAGACCAACACATTCTCACACCCAAGGCGTCAAAATATGACGCGTGTGACCAAGCCTCAATATACCACGATTCAGGACGCCCCAGCGCGTCAGGACACGACGATCACGGACACGCTGGTTCACGTGGCTCCGCTGGCGTCACTGTTTGACGCGCGCGGTCACACGAACATTATTTGACTATTTAACCTTCCCCTCACCCCAATCCTAACCTTAAGGTCCATAAACTGTGACCTTAAGGTTAGGATTGGGGTTAGGGGAAGGTTAAGTGTTTCAGATGTAGTTCTAATGTCCGTCTCACCACCGGCGTCTGATACCGACGCTCTGGGACGCTGCGTCAGCAGTTTGTCCCTGATCGTCGTTTCCTGACGCGCTGGGGCGTCCCGAATCGTCATATATTGACGCTTGGTCACACGCGTCATATTTTGACGCCTTGACACTGATGATAAACCAAATGTCGCGACTAGCCCCAAAGTACCCGTGTGCCGGCGCCACATCGAAGCAGTCGGTCCACAACGTCCTATGTTGAAGCCAGAAAAGGTAAACATGGTGGTTTGTCAGGCGACAAAACTTCTTATAAGCTGCATTTTTAAAATTTGTTAATGTTATGTTGTCGTTGTTTTAGCATGTTTGTTGTTCAGTTTCTGAACGGTGAAGGTCCAAACCAACAGTCTGTAATTCCACTTGAGGCTTACGAAACGTCATCATTTTTGATGCCGTACACCGTGTAACGTGTGGAGGAACCCAGACAGTGTTAACGTTTGGAGACCGCCACAGCCTCGTTCACACCTGACCTGCCCTTGTGGTCTTCAGCTTGTTCTTTATCTCCAAAAGCATCCAAACACTGCTGGAGGTTTCTGTTACACCATCAGTAACGTTATTTTTCTTTGTCATCCTCTGATGGGTGTGACTTTGTTCTCTGCAGGAGAGCTGTTTGCACAAGCTCCAGTTGATCAGTATCCTGGTTCTGTGGTGGAAGCCGTCACAGACTCCAGCAGGTACTTTGTCATCCGGATAGAAGACGGCAACGGTGAGACTCCTCCAACATCTATCTTGCTTTATAAAAAAAAGTTGTGATGAAGTTGTTTATAATTTCTTTTTATTTGTTTGCTTTTTTTAAGGACGTCATGCTTTCATTGGTTTGGGTTTTGCTGATCGTGGAGACTCATTTGACTTTAATGTTGCTTTACAAGATCATTTTAAGTGAGTCATCATTCATGATGGATCATTTTATCATTTCACGTTCTGCAGCATGACCCTAGGGTGAGAGTCGTGAGAACGAGATCACGGACACGAGCAGCTGAAATGAGTTTTCTCAGCAGGGTGGCTGGGCTCTCGCTTAGAGATAGAGTGAGAAGCTCTGTCATCCAGGAGGGGCTCAGAGTAGATCCGCCGCTCCTCCACGTCAAGAGGAGCCAGTTGATGTGGCTTGGGCATCTAGTTTGGATGCCTGCTGGACGCCTCCCTGTTGAGGTTTTCTGGGTGTGTCCAACTGGGAGAAGACCTAAAGGTAGATCCAGGACATGCTGGAGGGACTAGGTCTCTCACCTGGCCAGGGAATGGCTTAGGATTCCCCCGGAAGAGCTGGCCCAAGTGGCTGGGGAGAGGGAAGTCTGGGCCTCTCGACTTAGGCCGCTGCCTCCACGACCCGACCCTGGATAAGCGGCCAAAGATAGATAGATGGCTGATTCTGCAGCATCTATAGCATGCTTATGGCTTTGTTTGAACCCCTATTAGGGGTAATTATTGATAATAGCAGTGAGGAGAATTCTATTAAATGTTTTTGAATTAAGTTAAAACAGTGAGAAACGTGGGTTTAAAACAACAACAACACTAATTTACATTTACACTTATTTCATTTAGGTTTAAACACGTTTCAGGTTTCATACACACTTCCTGCCTTCACTGTTGCTTACGGTAATCTGTGGGATTATGTCTGTAAAGGGCTGTTAGAGGTTTTGGTAACACTTGTATTATAATGATAATATCAACGTTCCTGATATTAACTATCAAGTGTACTTTAGGTTAGAACAAAGAGCTGGGGGGTGTCTTCTTAGTAATGCATGACTTACTTTTAACATTAATAATAGTTTATTAGTTCTTAAAGGGGCATTATGGAAGTTTGACAGCCAAAACTTGTATAGAAATAATACATTTCTTCTTCATACGTTCTCCTGCAATGCCCTGGTCCTGTAGAATGAGCCCTGGCATTTTTACTGTGATTGCCTGTTTTTCTGTAAAATCACAGAAAAAGAGAGCTGCTCGGGTCGAGCAGGCTGCTTCATGCGCGTTCACGCTCAGGCATAGCCCGTAGCATTTGCCATCAGTAGCTTTAGCAGCAGAGAGAGAGGCAGTGCCACTTTGTCGCTGTTCCTAACGCCTAGTGATGAACCTAGCTACATTTCTGAGGACCCTTTGCTACTTTCTTCTAGATATTTCCTGCAAATTAGCAACAAAATAGCCATTTTCGCTTCTAACCGTTCTTTGGTTTGACGTTGTTTCAGCTGTCATCAAGGATATAAATGTTACAGATACTGTGAATGTTACTAGTGTGTAGCTCACCTTGTAAGATGTCTGTCTCCCGTGCAGAAGACCCGGTTTGATTCTGGATGTGAACTTAGTTTATTTAGAGTTTCTTTTTTACATTAATGGTATATTTTTTTTACAGTAAGATGCCCAAATTTTTATTTGAGACTCGCCAAAAGACATTGAATTCACAGATAAAAAAGATGTGGGTTCAACGTTCATTTTGGAATAATTTTTCAAGCAAGGGAAGGGAATGATCTGAGCATGCAGGAGGACTGACCCATCATAAACCTTTGTCGGCTGTGCTGAAGAGAAAGGTACAGAACCAAATTATTTAATTAATTAGCTGCGCGTTCTCCCGTCCTCTGTCCCCACCCCACCCCCACACACACACACGGGACTGTCTCAGCTGTTATTTTCGTTAAGGAGTGTGCACGTACAGCATGCGCGCCTCGTCAACTAGCCTACTGTTGAAGCTGCCGTTACGCTTTTGGCCTGAGGGGACAATCGCGAGCATAAAAGTTCAAAACTCCGTAAAGTCCCTTTAATAATGCACTAAGTAACGTTAATAAAGGAACATCTATTATAAAGTGTTACAGAGATTTTTGTTAAATGTCACAAATGACATTTTTAAAATGACATATTTGGATTCTATCTTGAATCAGCAGCATCTATGGAAACGTTGAAACTGAACGCTTCTGATATTTGGTGTCCCTCCTACGGACAATTATTATTATTATTATGTTTTTGCCCTGTGAAACTAAAGATGGGTGAAGCAGGAGGGTGAGCTGGCCAAGATGGAAGCCTCGCAAACTGCAGCACCCAAGTTGGATCTGAGCTTTAAGGAGGGACAGACCATCAAGATCAGCCTTGGGGTGAGTGTGCCACTTCCCCCATGAAAAACCGATGGATAACACCGATACTTCAGCAACACTTCATATGTTTTCTGCTTCTCCCTCCTACTGGTTGAAAGCGGAATTACAACCATCGTAAACAACCCTGTTGCAGTCTGCTGTAGCTAGCGCTAACAACAAGCTAACAGTAACATGAGCCAACTGATACTAAATAAGCCACAAAGTAAAAATTTCCACATTGTTGGACAAAAAATATTATTTATAAGTCCAGTAATAACAAAGCCAGGTCACCATCAGTCTGTGATTTTGTAGCGTCCTTCTGCTCCCTCAAACGAGTACAGGCTGCTCTGATGTTCACTCTGGTTTTAGCTCTTTGCTTTGCCTCCAAAGACATTATTCTCTTACTTTTACTTCCAGGCTCTCTGCTGCCTTCTTTTTTTCTTTTTCTTGTGCTTTTATTAATGGTTGGCAAACTGAAAAAGCTAACTACTGGCCTTTATATTAGCTACCGGCACAGTAAACAGCTGTCGTAAAGCAGGTAGAGACCTACCACTAGTGTTCCTACTCGAACCACAAAACTGCTCAGTACTGTTTCTGGTCAGCAGAGGGCAGCAGACGGCTATTCAATGTGAAGTTGCTCAAGTTTCTGTCTCAGGAACCACCAAAACCAATTTGAAAGCAAGAGATTAAAGTGTTAAAGGTGCTGCTTTTTAATGTGAGAACTGTCATGACTATTGCAGAACATTAAGAAGAAGGATGCCGGTGGTGTCAAACCACGGCCCGTGGGTGGAGGTCTGCTCCCGCCTCCTCCAGGAGTAAAAGCCGGAGGGATTCAGCTTCCTCCAGGAGGACAGCCGACTGTAGCGGCAGCACAGCCCAACGCCGGTGAGACTCACTGATCCCAGATGCATCGTTTCTATTCAGCAGGATGTTTTTTAATCCTTCCCCTCCACTTTCAGCCACTCTTTTAGACTTCGGCTCCCTCACCTCTGCAACACAACCCAGTTCTGACCTGTGGGGCGATTTCACATCTGCAGGGTCAAAGTAAGTCGTTCGCAGCACGCCTGTCATTGTTCCTCGCTCCATCATCACCTTCACCTTCTCCCTCTGCACAGCTCCAACAACGATGCTGTCAAACCAGGATGGGTGCAGTTCAGCTGAGTTTAAGGAAGCGAGCTCACACTCAGGTTCCAAGCATTCCCTGGACAGGATGATTGTGATTAAATAAAATCAGAAAGAGGGGAACTGGTTTCAGATTTCACAGCTGCTCTCACTCTTAAAGAAAACATCATAGCCTGCTGACCAACACACTCTGGAGGATCAAACAGTAACATGATTTATTTTTACAGTTCTTCTTCATTCTCTGCTATGCAGTAGGATTTGTTTTTAGTTATTTATCTTTTTTAAAACAAGGGAAAATCTGTCTCGTCACACTAACTGTGCTGAATTTTTCATCTCCACCTTAAATATTCCTTGTCGTTAGTTTTTTCAATGTTAGTCTTTCCAGAATTTGATTGAATTCCTTCAAACGTCACAGAATGATTTTATTACGTCTTTCATTTAGCTGTATAACAGCATGTTTTTGGTTTGTTTCAGCTGATGCTCATACCAAGATTTTTTTAATCACCTTTTGGGTTAAAGGAAATTCTCCTTGTTTTGGTTGTTGTGTGTTTTTGTTTGTCAGACGTCCTGTTTGTCCTTTTTGCTTTAGATTGGGCTTTTCCATCAAATGAAACTTCATTCTGTCTCTCTGCTACCCTAATCTGATGAAGTGCCTTCCTGAAAATACCTAAAATATGTTAAGTATAAACATTTTTGTGTAAATAAACAATATATTTTAAAGAGTCGTGTCTCCACATACATTTTTTTACAGAAAAAGCACAAATCTGCCTTTAGCGATGTGGTTTAGTTGGTTGGTTAATGGTTGGCAAACTGAAAAAGCTAACTACTAGCCTTTATATTAGCTACCGGCACAGTAAACAGCTGTCGTAAAGCAAAACGCTTCTTAAATGTACAGATACTCGATGTTGGGTTTCACCTTCCCCTTGAAGTGGCTGAGATGAGACTCCACATCTCAGATTCTCCATCAACATTATTGGAATGCTCTTTCAGGGGTGGCAGTGAGTTTCTGCATTGTCCACATGTAGTGACAGGAAGGAGCTCCAGCTCAGGGCTTTGTCTTTAGTGATGAGGGTGTTGGCCTACAGTCAAAGGACCATGATACTGGCTGAGATCCTGGATCCAAGTGGTTGGAAGGAGCTTCAGTGCGGGGTAGATACTCAGCCTGATGAGGTGAAGAGCATTGTGGGATTAGCTCTGGTGAAAAAGCTAGAGCAGGTGCTGAGGTTGATCTTGCTTCCTTGACTCAAAATGAGAAGTCTGTGGTCACCAACTTGGTAAAAATTGATGCAGCCCTTATGTTTGACGCACAAATGAAGATGGTGGTCCGCGCATGCTTTTTTAATGTTAGATGGCTTTCCAAGATGGATTCTCTCTTGTCAAGAGTCCGTCTGGAAACTGGTCCATGCTTTCATCATGTCCCGCCTTGACTATTGTAATGCTTTGTATGCTGGGCTGAGTCAGGCAGCAACTTCACGGCTCCAGCTAGTCCAGAACTCTGCGGCCAGTTTCCTGACCAGTACAAGAATGGGGGACCACATCGCTCCAGTGCTGCATTCTCTGCACTGGCTCCCGGTGTTTTATCGAGCCACATTTAAGATTTCGCTCCATGTTTTCAGGGTTTATCTGGCTGAACTGCTGCAGCGGCGTGTCCCTGCTCGTGCCCTTCGATCTGCTGAGCAGGAGCTGCTGGAGGCTCCCAGCTCCAAACTGAGATCAAGGGGAGACATGGCCTTCTCAGTAATGGCCCTACACTGTGGAACGAGGTCCCCCCTGACAGTGAAGCAAGCACCTTCTCTTCAGGACTTTCAGTCACATCTTAACACCCACTTTTATCGGCTGGCTTTCCCCCAACATTGAAACTGGCTTTTACATTTTTATAATTTCTATTGCACAGTTTTTAATCGCGTTTATTTGTCAATTTTTATTTTTACTGATTTTTATTCAATATGTCGTTTTTATTACTACACTGGTTTTATGTTAAGGTGGTAATTTATACATAAATAAATGATAAAGGAAATGATGTGGGAAGCTCAGAGTAGAGCTGCTGCTCCTCCACATCAAAACAAACCAGCTGAAGGTGTTCAGGATGCTCCTTCCTGGAGGTTTGCTGCTCTGGGAGCACATTTGGACCCCCCCCCCCCCCCCCCCCCCCCCAGGAGGAGCTGGAGAGGGATGGTTTCATTTGTCTGAGATTATTTTGATAATTTTGCACTGATTAGCCTCACCTTTAATGAAAAATAATAGTTTGGCTTCAAATCTTTTCACATAAAAAATCCAATAGTTGAACCTTATTGCTTGTTAACCCTTATTGTTTAAATTGACAAATGTCATGAACAGATTTGGCTTTCTCATAGGATAAAAATAAAAGGAAATCCTACCTGAACAGACCACGAGACACTAATATAAATAAATGTCTAAAAGGATCATCTGAGTGAGTTTTATCATCTAACCAGATAGAAATGAAAGATTTTAGACAGCTGAACACACTGATATGATGATAATTTACAGTTGATAAAGTTGTATGAAGACGGCTGGGATGGGTTTGTGGATGATGACAGCAGATCTGCGGGAACTGGAAGTCCCTCCCCGGAACACGCGGCATGTAGAAGCCTTGAGAAGAAGGCGACATGGTGGCAGGCCGTCCAACTGCAGCTGAAGGCTTTCCTTCTCTTACTGGACTAGAAAGCCTCCCAGAGGGCAGATGAAGCCTCAGCAGAGCGATAAAAGGAGGTGAGACGTGACTTTCAGCCATTTGCTGCAGTAGAAACAAAGATGCTTGGCGCATGTTTATGTTTACATCCAAAACCCGTTTACAGCTGAAGTGTTTTAAGACACACGGAGTCTGATTGGTGAAGAGTGGATTATTTCTGGATGCTGCAGAGATTTATACAGCCTCTATAACCTCCCCAAACTCCTCTATAACCTCCCCAAACTCCGCTCACCTTTTAAAAACTCGCGTGTTTGCTGCCTTTGAGGATGTTTGTGATAAACGAGCTTCTGTTTAACGACACAGATTAAAGAGGAAGCAGCTCGTTGCTGTTGAGCTGGTGGTGCTCAGGAAACTGTAAAAGTCCTCAAGCTAGAGGAGAAAAAGTTCAGATGATCTGTTCTGAGCAAATGTGAGGAAAAATAAACGTAAATTTCGTCAGAAGATCGTCTAAAATGCAATTCTGCAATCGTCCAGCAGAGAGCGCTGCTGATGCAACTCACACTGCACTTCTAGTTAAAAACTAGGCCGGACGATATAGAAAAAATGCATATCGGTAAAAAAAATCTAATTGATCGATATCAATAATTATTGACAATATAAATATAAATGTCCATTCATCCATTCTCTTCTGCTTATCTGGAGTTTGGTGGGGGGCAGCAGCCTCCCAGGCCCAGACTTCCCTCTCCTCTGTCCTGCTTTGTCCCCAGCCACTTGGGCCAGCTCTGGGAGAACCCCAAGGCGTTCCCTGGCCAAGTCAAAAGACATCTCTCCAGCGTGTCCTGGGTCTTTTGCTGCCCGCTACATGTCTGTTTTGGGTTGAGATAGGGCTTGGTGAGAGTGCCTGGATCTGTGTTGAGAGGAAGTATTGACTCTAGAATTGAGCTACCTGATAGGCCATAATAGAAAAAAGAAAGGTAACTTTTTATTGAAGTTTTTATCGAACCATTTTTTTTATTGCGCCATGCGTTTATGCTCAATATATATTGTTATTGAATTATTGTCCAGCCCTATTAAAAATAAATGAAGGAAGAACTTAACCTGCCAAAATCAATCAGTTAAAGGGACTTTTCGGACTTTTGAATTTCTATGCTCGCGATTGTCCCCTCAGGCCAAAAGCGTAACGGCAGCTTCAATAGTAGGCTCGTACACGAGGCGCGCATGCTGTACGTGCACACTCCTTAACGAAAATAACAGCTGAGACAGTTCCGTGTGTGTGTGTGTGTGGCCTGGAGGACAGAGGACAGGGGAACGCGCAGCTAATTAATTAAATAATTTGGTTCTGTACCTTTCTCTTCAGCACAGCCGACAAAGGTTTAAGATGGGTCAGTCCTCCTGCATGCTCAGATCATTCCCTTCCCTTGCTTGAAAAATTGTTCCAAAATGAAAGTTGAACCCACATCTTTTTTATCTGTGAATTCAATGTCTTTTGGCAAGTCTCAAATAAAAAATTGGGGCATCTTACTGTAAACAAATATACCATTAATGTAAAAAAGAAACTCTAAATAAACTGAGTTCACATCCAGAATCAAACCCAGGTCTTCTGCACGGGAGACAGACATCTTAAAAGGCGAGCTACACTCTAGTAACATTCATATCATCTGTAACTTTTATATCCTTGATGACAGCTGAAACAACATCAAACCAAAGAACGGTTTGGAGCGAAAATGGCAATTTTGTTGCTAATTTGCAGGAAATATCTAGAAGAAAGTTCTACAGAAAGTAGCTAAGGGTCCTCAGAAATGTAGCTAGCTTCATCACTAGGCGTTAGGAACAGCGACAACGTCGCTGAGTTGGCACTACCTCTCTCTCTGCTGCTAAAGCTACTGATGGCAAATGCTACGGGCTATGCCTGAGCGTGAACGCGCATGAAGCAGCCTGCTCGACCCGAGCATCTCTCTTTTTCTGTGATTTTACAGAAAAACAGGCAATCACAGTGAAAATGCCAGGGCTCATTCTACAGGACCAGGGCATTGCAGGAGAATGTCTGAAGAAGACATTTATTATTTCTATACATGTTTTGGCTGTAACACTTCCATAATGCCCCTTTAAGAACTAAAATAAAATAAGTGGAAAAAAATAAAACGTTTCGTCAGTTTTGGTAGATTATACGGTGCCCCTCTGGTGACATTGAGGAAAAAAAATGATCCGTGGTCACAAGTTTTTTTTTTTCCCTCAATGTCACCAGACGGACACCGTAGGATCAGTCCTCTATATAGCTACTTATTAGTCTTTTAATTAAATTACTTAACCATGCACATTGACTACGTTTGTTTGTTTGTTTATTTATTTATTTTGCTTTGAATAATTGTGCAGTAGTTGAAGAATTGTTTTGTAAAAAAAAAACTCAATATTTTTGATGAAAACTATTATTTCCTGTTTGATCATTTGAAGCTTTAGGAAGCGTTTCAAATAAAAAGTAAAAAAAGTTGATCATCAGGTTGTGGGTTATTGAAACAGGATTAAAACTAGACACAAATACAATAATTAAACACTAGCGTTAGGAAACCCACAGAGAAAATCACAAGTGAACCACTAACCTAAAGATATTAGTTTTCTATCTGATGATCTGATTTTACGTATTTGATTCTGAAAGTTCCATTTATTACATTTAAAGAAAAATCTTATTTATGTCAGAGGAGAACATGACAAAGATGATGAAGCAGTGGCTGTTAAGTTCAGTTCATTGAAGCCCTGTTGTGTGTGTGTGTTTTAATTGATGTCTTTGGGTTATTTAAAGAGACACCATGCAACTTTTTCATATTTTAAACCCTTTTCCTGAGCCAGTATGAGCTAAAATGACCCTTTAAAGGGTTGATGAAAGGCCACCCAGTCCCTATCGCCCCCTGTCGACAGAATATTCCACTTGCAACTTCAGAGTGCCGGTCTGATCTGTTGAGACTTAGAAAAAAATGGAGCTGGCAAACCTGGTGCTGCAATCTGCTTCCAGCTGATTTTCTGCACGTTTTAGATCATGAACACAGCTGATTTGTTTAATTTAGTGATGAATCTCTCCTGTAGACCCTAATGAAGGCTGGGAGACGTCTCAGTTGTTGGATTAAGGTGTTTAAAAGATGAAGGAAACAGACGAGGGGGTGCTTAAAGCAAGCCACAACAGCTTAATCCCTTTTAAAATGTTATTTTTGGTTTTGGTCCTAGGAGAAATAATAATTACACGACATGAAAAGAAAAAAACAACTGTGAAATAATAAGTGTCCAAATTCTTCTAAGTGTTATTAAATATATGTTCATGTTTCTTAATTATGTTCTTTTTATTTTAAACAAAAGATAATTTACTGGACAAAAAAACATCTCTCAACCTGATTTCTGGTGATCGGTATCAACCACAGAAACATTCGTGTTGGTTGACATTTAATAATGAATACATTATTTTTCATCAGTGTCTGTATTCATGACGGAGCTCAAACACAGCAGACCTGCAGGAACATTATAAATAAATACAAACAACCAGATAAAGTGCCGTTTTAGTGTCAGACGCCGTTTTCATTATTCTCTCTTTTAGAGGTTTTACTGGTGTGAGCTCTACGATGAGTTAGTGAGGATGTGATGCCATTTAGGAACAACGCTGACTCAGGTCCTGTTTAAAAGCCCGCTTTTCTCGTTGGTGTCTTGTTGTTGAGCAGCAGGAGTCTGTGGAGGGTTTTGTTGGGATCAGTGATTGTGTAGAGGAGGAGGAGGAGGAGGAGGAGGAGGAGGAAGAGGAGGAGGAAGGGGTGTGCACTTTAAAACCTGCTAATCCTGCCGTCCCCAATCTCAGTCTGAGTGTCCAGGAGGACGAGACCGGACAACTCACTCAGCTCTGCAACTATACCTTCCTTTTGAAGCAGCAAATAACAAAATCAAAGTGTCGACTGTTTTTACTTTTTTTAGAACCTTCTGGAAATGAAAAGACAACATTTCTATGAAATCATTTAGTTTGTGATGATTTCCTCTGAGTTAATCCTATTTTCCTGGAGGGTTTTAAAAATAGCTCCTCCACGATGAGCGCTGCAGAAAACTCTGACGGCGACTCCAACAAGCTGGAGTCCGTGATCCAGGTGAGAGTGTCTCTGCGGCTGCTTCGCCTCACCTGGTCCGTCTCCTAACGTGCTGACACGGTGGTGTGAGGATGCTTGTTTGCACTGTGCATGTTCCTGCGTGTGTTTTCATTAGGCTGCATTTTAGAGTTCCTGCTGGGACGCCACTTGTGGCTGTGGTGAAAAACACAACACGTTTAATTCCCTTATGTGTGTGTGTGTGTTCTGTTCATCAGCGTTTGGAAGAGAGTGTCCTGTCTGAGGAGAAGAGGCTGACGGTCCGAGGACCTTCACCTGATGCCCCCCCCACCTGTCTGCCAGCACGAGTGCGTGAGATCGTCACGAAGAACCTCACGGACGGCGGTGAGTGTCGAGTTTGTTTTCTGGAAATGTCCTCCTGTCCTTATTTGATTTGTGTGCTTTGTCTCATCTGAGCAGCAGGAGCCATGTCCGCCTCGGTCATGTCCCTCCAGGAAGAGAACCGGGTTCTGCAGGGGGAGCTGGGCCGGCTGGAGGACCTGCTGGCTCACAGCCGAGCAGACCGAGATGAGCTCGCCATCAAGTATGGGGCGATCAGCGAGAGGGTGAGGACAGTCATCTGCCTCTCACGATGAAACAGTCAGAGCAGCGTTATAATAAACCTCCTCAGGTGTTCCACGAAGGAGGTGTTGGGGAACTCTCTCCTTCTCTTTTTTGTTACTTCTTTGTTTTCTCTCTTTGTCTGAGATATGCGAGTCTCCCAGGTGACGGGGGCTGGAATGAACTGAAGTGGAATGTTGCCATGGCTTCTGTTGCCATGGGTGACCGTAAACAGGGGCTTCATGACTGAGAGGAGGGATGTGGTGGGTGGGTGTTGGTATCCGTGACTCCTTTTTAGGGTTGAACACTAGCAAGACGAGCGTTCAAACATCTGAACTCTAAAAGCAATTTCTCTCATATTAAGCAGTCTGTGGGTTGGCTTTCCGTATTCTTTGTAATATCCGTCATTTGATAAGAACTTCACTATTTTAAGGAAGTAGAAGGTTGAAGTAGTTCATTGGTCCGTATGCCCTGCTGTGAATCTGATGTAAAGGTCTGTGCAATTGCAGTTTCACCGTGACTTTAGTTTTTTGACAGTTTTATGAGCTTAAGTCAATGACGCAAGGCTTTTATTAAAGTTTTAAGTAGTTCCTGAATCAAAAAATGTCCAAAATACAAAATAAAAGGGCTCTTTCTGTCTGTATAGGAGGACAGCCTCATTCCGTGTAGTCACGGTCAACGACTGCTGTGCTCTGAGCTCCTAAGACCTTCCAGAAGCTTTTCGTATTGACATCATGCACACTAATTTACCATAGTTAAATAAAGTCTAATTAATAATTAACCCTACAAAATTAACAATAGTTGTTGTTGGGCATCCAGGAGAGAGCAGAGCGTGTCTTTGCTAGTGGAAGCTAACAGTTAGCATTAGCAACTCTGCCACACAGCAGAACTCCTTCAGGCTTGTGTTATTCTTGGAGATAAAACATAAATATTGAATTTTTTACCCAAAACAGAAGAGCAAGCAAAGGCAGCTGAAGAGTCTCGTTGCTGTTAGCCAATCAGAGGGCAGACGTTTGCGTGTCACGAAAATAACATTTGAAGATTCCAAATCCTGCAAGTTTCTTGACAGCACCTGAAGTCTGTGTGTACAAAGTAGCTTTAACCAGGGGCGTGTCCAGGGAGCGGTCTGGGGTAGCACATGCCACCCTTGGAATCTGATCGGCCACCCCAGGCGACACCACACTAATTTACCTTTAAATAGGCTTTTCAATGTCCTAAAAAGGCTTGGAGGTAAACCAAAAATAGCATAACCATTGGTGGTGCCACCCATGCACAAAGTTTTGCCTCACCCGGGCCACCCCATTTTAAAAGATCTGGACACGCCTCTGGCTTTAACCCCCCGCCTCTCGTCTTAATTGTAACTGCAGCTGGAGCAGGTGCTGCGCTTTGAGACGGGAGAGGGTGACCAGGATTCAGCCGAGACCCGCAGCCTCGCTCAGCAGAACGTGGATCTGCGTAGACGGCTGGACGAGGAGCAAGCCGCCTACAAACGTAAACTCGCCGCCTACCAGGAGGGGCAGCAGAGGCAGGCGCAGCTCGTTCAGAAGCTGCAGGCTAAGGTACGCAGAGGTCATTCACACGCTGCTGTAGTCCTAGTGAGGTGAGCGCGCTGCTGATAAACATCCTGTTGCTTCAGGTGCTTCAGTACAAGAAGAAATGTGGAGATCTGGAACAGGTGTTACAGGAGAAATCTGCAGAGTTGGAGAAGCGCAGTGTGACTGTAGGTTGCCTTCATCTTAGCACATTTCTGTCATATTTGAGCCAAACAGTATAAATGAAGTTTTCTTTTTAGGGCTGCAGCGAAACCTCAAACGGCCATGTTCAGGACGGAGCAGGCAGCACCCTGGAGGAGGCTCTGATCCGTCTGGAGGAGGAACAGCAGAGGTGACTGTGATGGGAGGGCTGGACCCAAACTCCTGATCGTCGGGAGCCTAATTAGAGACACTTTAGCTCAGAGGAGTCCAAACGATTCAATACAAGGGCTAAAATCCTCAGAGACCACAAAAAATATGAAGATTTTGTATTTAACAAGTGCAAAAAATTTCTTATGGTGAAAATTTTATTGTACATTTTTATTGGATGTACATCAACAGCCTGCTGAAGGGAAGGGGGCGGGGGGGGTCAGAGGGCTGCACATGGCCCCTAGGCCGCTCTTTGGTCCAGCCTGCTTTAGCTACTGCTCTCAGATCAGTATACGTGAGACTGTATCGATTAAAGTTTTTATTCTGGTTCACTAAAAAATATCATTTATCATTTAACTTCAAATGTCTTTAATATTCACTGACTGGTCCACAAGAAACAGAAATGTTGAAGGCATACTTTTTCATATTTTAAGTCATATTCTTGAGCCAGTATGCGCTAAAACGAACCTTTATAGAGTTCATGATATGTCAGTCAGACCCCTGCAGCCCTTTGTGGCCAGAATACTGCATTTGCAACTTCAGAGTGCTGGTCGGTAAACTGCAGACATTGAGCTGACATACCTGGTGCCGCAGTCTGCTTCTAGCATGTTTCCTGCATGTTTTAGATCATGAACACAGCTGATTTGTTTAATGTAGTGACGAATCGCTCCTGTAGACACTAATGAAGGCTGAGGAGACGTCTCAGCTGTTAGATTAAGGTGTTAAAAAGAAGAATAAACAGCGAGGAGAGGAGTTTCACTTTTGCTCGGACAGCAGATAATTAATAACGGACACTAGGGGGTGCTAGAAGCAAGCAAAATTGCCAAGTGTGCATTTTAGGCAAATCTCTCACATCGTCTAGTTAAACATTCTCTACTGAATACATTACCCACAATGCACGTTTACACCCTGGCTGTAATAGTTTAGAGGATTCCTGCAGGATTCTTTTATGACGGTTACACTCATAACTGGCGTGAGACGCGAGTAGAGGATTAACGTTTGTGTTCTAAACCGGTTTTTCCGTGGATGTGACGATGTCGTTCAGGAGCAGCAGCTTGTCTGCTGTGAACGCCATGATCCGGGAGCAGTTGGAGCAGGCCGGCTTAGCCAACGAGGCTCTCAGCCAGGACATCCGCAGACTCACCGCTGATTGGACGAAAGCCAGAGAGGAGCTGGAACAAAAGGAGTCGGACTGGAGGAGAGAGGAGGAGGTGTGAGGGAGGGGAGACTTTTCTGGCTCCCTTCTAAATAAACAAATAAGAATGAATGTTTTTCTCCATAACCAGTCCTTCCACAGCTACTTCAGCAGCGAGCACAGTCGACTCCTGGTGCTGTGGAGGCAGGTGGTCGGGTTCAGGAGGCACGTCTGTGAGCTGAAGAGCTCCACTGAAAGGTAAACGACCAAAACAGCACGACGAACAGAAACCCAAGTCTGCTCCTCCTGATCTGATGGTTGACTCCTGTCTGCGTGTGTCCGAAGGGACCTGTCGGACATGCGTAATGAGCTGGCTCGGACGTCCCACTCGGCTCAGGTGTCCCTCACCAGTCTGTGCGCCTCTCTGGACGGTCGGATGGGAGGAGCTGCTCTGGCCCTGGAGCGGGAGAAGACTCTGAGGGTCCAGCTGGAGCAGCAACTCCGAGACCAGGTGGTGGAGATGATGAACTTCCAGAGCAGATCGGACACAGAGAAGAGTGAGCTGAGCGCCAGGTCAGAGGGACGGAGAGGAGGAGGAGTTTAAAGTGTTTCTGGATGGGTGGGCTGGTCTCTGACAGCTTGAGCGTTACACACCTCTAGAAACAAAACTCGTAATTAGACACATTAACTAGTTAGTAACGGGTTAGAGAAAGCACTTGTGGTCTAATTTTCAGGCTTCTTTTGGCGTTCTGAATAACTTGCATGAAATCTAAAATGCCCACTGCTCTGATTCTCACTTCCTGATTATCCTTTTGATTTATGAAACTTTTAGGAAGTTTAAAAAAATCTAGAAAAACCACCAATATGTAAAAAACGTGTTTTTAAAAGCCGTTGTCTGAAAGGATTCAGTCACACGTTCTCTAAACAAAGATCAAATGTCCTCCTCCACTTAGATTTTAATCTTAAAGAATTAAATCAGTTTTATTTTAGTTTAAATGGAATATAGTTATTAATGAACATAATTTAGCTTTGATGAAAACCCTTAGAAAAATGTTTTAGAGGTACTTTTTCACCCATTGTCCTTTTGCTCCCTGTAGCTTTTAGTAATTAATCCTAATTGCTGCATAAACAATTTACTAACATTTATTGTAAAAAAAATAGTATATATATATTTTTTTGTCACTCTGCCAGGTTGTCGGATGCGGTGCGAGAGTGTGAGAGGATAAAGATCCAGATTTTGGAGAAAGAAAATGAAACGATGTCTCTGAGGAGGAGGCTGGAGGTGAGGGCGCGGTTCTGATGGCGGCAGCCGTTTCCTTCTGATGCTTCTGTGCCTCCTTCATCCGTTTCCTCTCCTTCAGGAGCAGAGCAGCAGTGATGAGACCGACTTACAGCTGATGAAAACTCTCTCCGAGTCTCTGTTGGACACGCTGCGGGACATCGCACAGGTATGAAACACTTCCCACACGCAGCTGGGAGCGTCACTGGGATCTTTACGTGTGTCTGGTTCCCAGACGGTCCTGTCAGAGGGAGATTCGTCCTCAGAAGCCGATCAGGACGACTCTGTGGCTCCGCTGCTGGCTCTGATCTGCGACTCCTCCCCTCGCTGCTCGTTGTCTCCACGGAGACCGACATCGCCGCATCAGTCCTCCAAGTTGCCTCTTGTCCCTGACGCAGCACTGTCCGCTCTCCGCTCGCTCGTCTCAAACAGAACGCTGCAGCTGCAGGTGACGGGTCGCTTTAGAAGGCACGCGCATATTTATAGCCTAGATGTTACCCGTGAGTTTGTGTTTCTGGTGTGAGGTGCAGCAACAGAAATGCCTTTTAGACTTTGCGATAGATGTTTTGTCAGAAGTTGGTGATAAATTCTTAAATTTTGTACCTTTTTTTTTGACAGTAAGCATTTAAATCACAATAAGTCTGAATCAGAAAGAGATCAAACCAATAACACATTTTTAAATCTAAATGTTTGCATAAAACATCATCATCATCATCCCGTTGAATTCTGGTTTCCAGGATGTTCGAGGTCGTCTCCTCTCTGCTCAGTCCTCTGTGCAGCAGTTACGAAAGCAGCTTTCAGAGTCCGACGTGGCTAAAAGAGACGCAGAGCAGCGAAACCTGACGCTGCAGCGAGAAAAGGACGCAGCTCAGAGAGAACGGGAGGTCGTGCAGAGAGAGAAGGAGCGTCTGAAGCAGGAGAGGGATGCACTGACCAGGTCACGATCTGCTCCTTATCACTCCACCCCGCGGGTGTTTTTAATCCTAACTCTAGAGTGTATTCCCTGCATGCAGCGAGAAGGTAAACCTGGAGAGAAATGCTCAGGCAGCAGAGAGCAGCAACCAGATCCTGCAGATGGAGTTGGAAAGGCTTCAGCTCACGATGGCGTCTGCGCAGCGCGAGCGAGAACACGAGAGGGAGGAGAAGGAGGCTGCAGCTCAGGAGAGAGACCGGGCAAAGGCCGAGGCTCAGAGGATGTAAGAAGGCTGATTGATAATGATTTAATCAGTGTGATGCAGACGCTAATCCACACGGGTCGGTGCAGTCAGCAGGTTGTCCAAGTCTTCCTGCTCAAATACCAACACCTCCTGCATATATGAGCAAATCAGATCAGTGTAATCATCTCGAGTCATCCAGTGATGATAAACCGAACTTTATCAGATGTGAAAGCAGCCAAAACGATTCAAATCTCTGAAGATCCAGTTGAACAAAAGTAAGTCCCGATGCTTGGGAGCAAATGGAAAGAGATGGTTTAAAAGCTTTGCATCCATGTAGATTTAAAGGAAAACCTATGCCTCGTTTCCTGATATACATTTCCTGATCCAGACAGAAGCAGTGGGACCAGAGTGAGAGTCGAGCCTCGGCTCAGCGTGGAGAGCTGTCTGCAGTGAGGGAGACTCACCAGAAGGGGGAGGTGGAGAGGTATCTGCTGGAGAAGGAGAAGGCCCAGCTGTGCGAAGCACTAACCCGGGTGAGAAGAACACTGCACTTGCTCTTATTTAAGCTCTGGGTGTTCTGCGTCTGACTCCTGTGTCTCCGTCCAGGCTGAAAGCAGCAACCGGGACCTGTCCCTGCAGCTCAGCAAGCTGCAGTCTGAGGACGCAGCTCTCAGAGACTCTCTGACAAAGATGGCAGGTATGAACGAGGTCATGGCTCAGGACAAATCAAAGCTCAACACCTACATCCTCCAGGTGAGATGGCTGCAGGACGTTCAGATAGCGTCCTGTTTACTGAAGGGTTTTTATCCTTCTGCATTAAGAACTTTTAGTTTGTTTGAATCTAGCCTAATTTTTGCGTTCGGTTGAAACTGAACGCAAACTTTTAGTTTGAAAGTTTTCTAGAGCAAATAAAAACACGATATTTTTAAAAACGATCTTCGTTCCCTCGGACTCGCAGCTCGAGGAGGAGAAGTCCACCCTGCAGGCTCAGAAACGCGAAGCGGAGCAGGAGAAGCTGACCATCAGGGACGAGCTGGTCCGGCTGGAGCAGGACCGGCTGGAGCTGGAATCTGCTCGCATCACGCTGCAGCAGTCTCTGCAGGATGCCGAGCTGAGCCGGATGGGGCTGGAGGCGGAGCTGCAGAGCCTCAGGGCTGAGAGACTCCAGCTGCAGGAGAGAGTCACCCAGGTAGAGATCCTCCTCCAGTGGAGGCGTCTCTCTGACCTCCCATGGACACGTTCCAATCCTAAAAGAGTTCATTAGTATCTTCAGGTACATTTTTTTTTCGTTTATCCTCAGCTCTGTGGTGAGGTGTCGTCTCTGGACTCAGAGCTCAGTCTGGCTCGGGCGGAGGGTCAGAGGAGCGAGGCGGCCCTGGAGGAGGCCGGGCGCAGTCGGGCAGAACTGTCCCGGGACAAAGCAGCTCTGGTGGTTCAGCTGACGGCGTCGGAGAGAGAAAACACGCTGCTGTCGGAGGAGCTGGCTGCCGTCAGGTGTGTGCCATGTACACGTTGCCTTGGTTACCTGTCAGTGTAGGCTGTAGACATCTATCAGTTTAGAATAATAAAAAACAGAGGCGGTGGTTTACAACACCAACTTTCTGCCATCTATAATCCAGTTTTGAGATCCCTTCCCAGATGCCTCAACGCCCACGCATATTGTGGGCCATCTGACCTCAGGAATTCACATGATAGGGTGGGGCCAGGCTTCACAATGAGCCCACCCGAAACTCTGGCTGAATAGGACCCACACCCACCCTCACACCTTGGCTCATGTGTTTATGTAGAAGATCATCAGGGGGTCTTTTGTTCCCTCTTCGGGGGGAAACTCCCACTGGGTTTAAATCTGGGACTCTCCACCATTTGACCTTAGAACTGAAGAAGCCTCTCGGATGAGAGGTGAAACGTCTTCAAGCAAGAAGTCCAGACGCTTTTCTTTCAAAGCTCCTTAGACTGCAATGACCTGGATGACTGAGAACCTTCACAGACAATAATAAAAAACAACGTCCCAGTGTGACCGCAATAACAACACAGTAATGTGAGCGTGTCTGTAGATCAGAGGTTTTAGAGCCATGCTGGTTCAGCTTGAAGCTGCTCCAACCTGCTTATTTCATTTTGATCCAGTAGAAACCAAAAATAAAATCATTTCTAATATCTTTGTTGAACTGAAACTTTGACTGGTTTCTAGTTGTTTTCTGGAAGTGACAAGTTAAAACGAGTCAAGTTACTAAATCAAATTTTTGATCTTTTTAGATTCTGGCTTTGATGTATTTTTTTTATCTAATGTCCGACTTGGTTTGGCTTTCACTCGTTTTATCATTCTGACCTTTAGGTCGGAGCGAGAGTCCCTGGAGACGGGTCTGTTTGACGTCCAGCAGCAGCTCGCTCAGGCGGAGTCCCACAGAGAGCAGCTGGAGACGGAAAACCAAAACCTCCGGGTCCGCTGTGAGGCGGCTGCAGGTGAGCAGAGATCCCATCTCCAGCTGGTCGAGCACAACATGAAGTCTGTGACTCCACAGAAGGACAACTGTTGGTTTTTTCCTCTGGACGTCCAGCTGAGTTGAAGCGAGAACGAACGGACGGTGAGAATGCTGCCGCTCAGGCCGAGCGAGACAAACAGATCCTGGGTCAGACCCTCAAGGCTGCTCAGCTGGAGGCCCAGCAGGCGTTACGGAAGGCCGTGTCCGAGCACCAGGAGGAGGTGGAGAGACTGCTGTCGGAGAAGGTGAGACTGTTAACCACCACCTACAGATCTGGCTTCATGTGTAAACTGTTGCTGATTTCTACACAGGAAGTCGTGCGTCGCAGCATGCAGGTGGAGCACGAGGCTGCTCTGAAGAGGTTCAGCCAGGAGATGGAGGATCAGCTCCACAGAGCCAAGAGAGAACGAGAGGGTCTGCAGGAGGAGCTGAGGACGCTGCATCACGACCGGGATCAGCGTTTGCTGCAGGCCGAGACCGAGAAACAGCAGGTGGGATCCGTATCACGGGGTCTGAGAGTCAAATCCTGACACCATGAAGTCTTAGTTGAGGCTCTTCTTCGTAGGCTCTTTCTCTGAAGGAGGCAGAGAAGACGGTTCTGTCTGAGCGGGTGACCGCTCTGCAGGCCGAGCTGACGGCTGCGTCTCTGGAGGCTGAGAGGATGGGCAGAGAGGCGGCTCATCACAAAGAGCAGGAACAGGTGAACGTCTTTACTTCCTCTCTGATTTTCTCTTCTTCTTGCTGCGTTTCGCAGCTCGAGGCTCGGAGACGACGACCTAAACGGAGTCTGTGTTCGGTTTTAGATCCGAGTCGGAGCTCTGACCAGTGAGCTGCTGGAGCTTCAGTCGCAGCTGGACGATGCAGCTCCTGCTCATGAACGGGAGCTCCAGAGCCTACGGGAAACCTGCGCTGACCTTCGAACACGGACTGACGCTGCTCTCAACGAGGTAGGTGATCCCATCCTAGAGATGACAATCAGCTGTAGTCACGCATTTAGACGTGAAACAAGTGGACGCAACGTCTTGTTAAAGTCAATTTTACTTTTACTAAGACGACGTTAGTTGGCTGCATGCTGGCGTAAAGGTCACAGGTCACAGCGTAAAGGTCACAGGTTCGAATCTTGAATCTTTGCCGAGTTAGCATGTTCTCCTTAGAGACTGACCGACATGTGTCGTTTGTTACCGATGGTAAACTCAACACAGACGTGGCCACAGTGTGTTAAAAGCATGACAAATAAAACACAGTAACCACGGTAACACAAGCAAAAGACAGGACCGGGTAAAAATGACCACATGAAAGAAACGTAAGTACTGACAGCAATAACAAACCAACAGGATGCGTTTCTGCTCAACCGAGATTAAAAGCCAAGTTAAAAAGGTGAGTTTTTAAAAGAGACTTAAACTCATTCAGAGACTCGGCTCTCCTTATAGGCAGAGACGGTCCTGTCCCCTCAGGTCACAAGTCCTAGGAACCTCTGAAAGGAGCTGGAGCTCAGGCTCCAAACGTCTTGTGGGAACTGCTTATTCAGATAGCTAAGGAGGCGCCTGGCCATTTAAACATTTAAAAACTAAAAATAAAATCTTAAAATCAATCCTAAAATGAACAGGCAACCAGCGCAGGGAGGACAGAACAGGGGCGCTGTGCTCACGGCGCTTAATACCCGTAAGCAGACGGGCAGCAGCATTTTGCACCAGCTGCAGGCGCCGCAGCAGAGAGTTGTCCAGCCCAGGCGAGAGGTAATCAGAGCATGGATCACCTTTTCTAGGCCGCTAGATGGTAAATAGGGTTTGACCTTGCTAGGTAAGCTCAGATTATCAAAGCCAGACTGGACCGCCACACTGACCTGTTCAGACTGCTGTCAGTAAGGACTCCGAGGTTCCTGACAACAGCAGAGCTAAAGTAACTCAGAGGACCAACAGCACAGCTGCATTCTGACAGCAAGTCTGTCTTCCCAAAAACCTGTACCCCTGTTTTATCTAAATGCTCCTCCACATCGAGAGGAGCCAGGTGAGGTGGCTCGGGCATCTGGTCAGGATGCCTCCTGGTGAGGTTTTCCGGGCACGTCCAACCGGGAGGAGGCCTAAAGGTAGACCCAGGACACGTTGGAGGGACTACGTCTCTCACCTGGCCAGGGAACGCCTTGGGATTCCCCCAGAAGAGCTGGACGTGATCTCCCTCATCTGCATGCTAAATGTCACCAATAACAACATTTCTGAACCTGGATCGGTTTCTGAGCTCTGAGTTTGACCAACCATTGAATCTTAAGTCTGTACGCTGGTACACCATTAGGATGAAACATATATGTTCCTCCAGGGATTAAATACAAGACCTTACTGAGATTTAGGTGCTACCTTCCTTACGCCTGAGTAAAACCTTCTCCTCCTAAAACATCAACTTAATGTATTTGGTACAAAGACTTTTGTTCTTTTTCTTAATTTTTGGTACAAATGCCCTGATTTTTATTTATATACGTATATTTATCTTTATTTATAATTTAGCACAGGTCCCAAACCATGATACTGCCGTCTTTATGTTTCACAAATGAGCCGTGCTTTCATTTCTTATTATAAATAATAATAAAAGTGGGAAAATCTTTCCTTTACTGGGAAGTTTTTGCCCCGGCTCGGGAAAACAACCTGTTTTCTTGTTTTTCACCACAGAAGTTTTCTGATGCTAATTTCTTGGTTAAACCTGATAGATTAATTTTTGGGTTATGTCTGACTGTTTTTAGGATATTTTAGGTGATAGTTTTGCAGAAATGAAACAAAACCACCAGAGTGTCTAAACTCTCTCGTTCGTTTGGGAGAAACGCGTCTGTGATGCGTGACCATCGTGCGTAATGTGACGTTTCTGTCCTCCAGCTGGAGACGTGCAGAGCTGCTCTCTCAGCTGCTGAGGAGAGTCGGGACCAGCTGAGACGAGACTTGTTGGAAGCTGAACGTCGCCTAAGCCAAACTCGGGACTCCACAGATGCCCACAGGAGGGAGGGGGCCGAGCTGCGTCGAAGCCTCGGAGACGTCACACAGGAGAGAGACGCTCTCAGCCAGTCTAATACTCAGCTGAGTGAAACTCTGCGTAACGCTGAAACAGAGAGGATTAGGTAAGTGGAAGGAAAACCAAGATGAAGTCAACACTGGGGGGGGAGGTTATTGTGACGCGTGTGTTGTTAGTGTGAGACGACAGTGTGAAGAGAAGGCACAAAGGCTGGCTGTGCTGGAGGAGAACCTCTCAGCCACTCAGAGGGAGGCAACGGAGCTGCGCAGCTGTCTGAGGGAGGTGGAAAGGTCCCGGCTCGAGGCCCGGAGGGAGCTGCAGGAGCTCCGCAGACAGGTAGAACTGTGTTCAGTGTGTCAGATAAACTGTGAATCAGGAGTGCGGTACCAGTTCTGGTCCTGTGTTTCAGCTCAAAGTTCTGGATGGAGAGAAGGAGCAGAAGGGGAGGGATGTGGCCGAGCTGCAGACTCGTCTGTCGCTGGAGGAGCAAAGAGAGGAGGAGAAACTCAAAGAGGTTTTTGCTCTCAAACAAAAGCTCTCTGAAGCTGAAACAGCCAGAGACTCTCTCAAGAAAGAGGTGAGAATAGAAAGATCTGGTGTTACGGGGTAACGTTTCTGTCCGGAGACTCATTGGTTTTCCCTTTTCCAAAGCTTTCGATGACCCAGAAACGTCTGGTGGAGTCTGAGTCGAGCTGGAGGAGCTGTGAGAGAGAGCTGACTGCGCAGCTGCAGGAGGCCCGAGGCTGTGAGAAGAAGCTCCAGGATGAAGCCAAGAACCTGTCGCTGCGAGCTCAGGCCGCCCAGGACGTGGCGGCCCAGGCCAGCCTGCAGCTCAGCGAAGCACAGGGTCGGCTGGCCGCCACTGAAGCGGAGCTGACCCGAGCCGAGGCCTCCAGGAGGGATCTGGAGTTCCGCCTCAGCGGCCTCCAATCAGCGCTGGTGCGAATGCTGGGTATCGGTGCGAGTGGGAGGAGCTGCAGGGGGCGGAGTCCAGGAGGGAGCTCCACCTCACCTGGCAGCACATCGCGTCACCACAGCATCTCTCCACTTCGGTCTTCACTGTCGCCCCCTAAAGGTGTGTGTGTGTGTGTGTGTGTGTGTGTGTGTGTGTGTGTGTGTGTGTGTGTGTGTGTGTGTGTGTGTGTGTGTGTGTGTGTGTGTGTGAGAGAGAGGGATAATTTAAGGGAACTCTCACTTATTCATCTGCAGCTGATTAAACTTAAACACGCAGCTCTGAATCTGATCCCAACAGAGTTTCGAAGAAGCACCCTTGACAACACATTAGGCTCCGGAGCAGTCTCGCCAGAGCGAGGCAGCACGCCACTTCCTCTTCCTCACCTGGAGCTCGACGCCGATGTTCTACGAAGCGGCCTCAGAGACTTCCTCCAGGAGCTGCGGGATGCTCACAGAGCAAGGGTGACCGACCTGCACAGAACTGAGCTATCCGTCATACGAGTTTGTTACTCGTTGATGATCTTATTTATCTGTTACGCAGGATGATGCTCGTGGCCAGCTGGGCGTGCTGCAGCGGGAGCTGGAGGAGCTGAAAGGGGAGCGAGACTCGTCTCATAGTCGCCTCGCTCAGATGCAGAAGACCATGCAGGAAATCCAAGAAGGTCTAAATGCAAACGCACAGATTTATACGAAGATTTGCCCTTGAAACCTCGTGGCATTGACGGGTGCTGCTTTGTGCAGGGAGGCGTGGGCTGGATGAGCGTCTGACCACCACTCAGATCCTGCTGCAGCAGCAGGAGGAAGCGGTGAGGAGAGGAGAACGGGAGAGGAGAGCTCTGGCAGACAGGGCAAAGGACTTGGAACGATCCCTGCAGACCTCGGAGAACGATAAGAAACACACTCAGGTACGCTCGTGCACACTCCGTGTGTTTGTGTAAAGGCTCACGCTGCAGGGACCATATGGCAGCGCTCAACAGTGGAGCTACATTCATCAGCTTGGACTGTAATGACAGCAGACGACAGACACACACTGAATGGTGCACCTCTTGTGGTGTAACGTATCAGATCTCCATGTCAAATTTGGATGCCAGCAGCAGCAGAGGCTCAGAAACACTTTGAACCAGGCGTTTTTGGGACAGTGACGTGTGATCTCAGATCCGCTGTTTTCATCCTCTTTGAGTCTTTAATTCTGCATGAACGTCGTCTCAAAAACGAGCTGCCCAGCTTTCCGTCCTGCCTCCATCTCTCTGTAGGATCAGTTGAATAAAAGTCGTGCCGCTGAGATGCGTCTGGAGGCAGAGAGGAAGCGCCTGAGGGAGGCGCTGGAGGCAGCTGAGGCTCGGGCCACCAGGGTGGAGCTGGGGAGGCGCAGCCTGGAGGGGGAGCTGCAGAGACTCAAACTGAGTCTGGGCGACCGGGAGGCCGAGAGCCGGGTCTCCCAGGAGCGCTACGACGCTCTACTGAAACAGGTAAAATAGAATGTTTCACATTTTAACATAATTAGGTGGAACTGTGAGCCTTGTGTGGCCATCAGAACTCAGGTTTTCCACTTTGGGTGTCTGGTTGGTTTGCTGGTCGAAGGTCGCAGAGGGCGAAGCTCGTGTTTCTGTGCTGCAGAGGGAGGTGGACAGGCTGAACCAGGCTCTGCTCAAAGCTCAGGAGGGGGAATCGGCACTCAAAGAGAAGGCCGTGTCCCTCAGTCAGACCCTTCAGGAGGTGGCGGCTTCTCACAGCAGCACACAGAGTCGTCTACTCGCCTTGCAGAAGGCGCTGAGTTCATCTGAGCAGGACAGGAGGCTTCAGCAGGTTTGTGAGTCAGGAGGAAGGACAGAGAATCCACTGGAGACGAAAATCCAACAATTGTTTCATGTAGGAACGAATGGATGAAGCCCGAGCAGCGCTAGCCGAAGGAAAGAGGAACGTGTCGACCCTCACTGAGCGTGTGCAGAGCCTGCAGGGCGAGCTGAGCCAAAGCGAGCAGCGGCGAGAAGATCTGGAGTCGGAGCTCAGCAGCACTCAGGAGGTCCACAAAACATTCAGTGTAACAGAGAGAGCAAGGAGTTAAAAACAGAGTAAAAAACGGTTTATCTTCTGTCTCCTTCAGGCTCTACGGCAGCACTCGGTCAGTCTGGTGGAGGCTCAGCACGGCGCCCAGGCAGCTCAAAAAGAAAAGGCCGCGGTGGAGGAGCGACTGCGCGGTCTGCAGAGAGCCGTGGCCATGTTGGAGACGGAAAAAAAAGATGCAGAAAGACAAGCCGTGAGGCTGGAGAAGGACAAGAACGCTCTGAGGAACACGCTGGATAAGGTGAGGCTTGACTTAAAAAAATAACTTTATTCATGCATTTGGGATGAGAAATAACTAACAAGTGACTCCTGATGTTAGGTCGAGCGTCAGAAGCTGAAGTCTGAGGAGGGAAGCATGCGTCTGTCTGCTGAGAAGAGTCGTCTGGACCGTTCCTTAAACACAGCAGAGCACGAGCTGCAGGAGGCGCAGCAGCAGGTCCTGATGCTGCAGGTGAGGAGGAGACGCAGATGCGGTTAAATCCAGACATGTTTAACTTTTGGGTTCCGATCAGATGTCATCACTGCCTTTAAGCTGCAACAGAATAGTTTTCTGTAGTGAGTTACTTGATTGGTGGCGTCACAGCTTTTTAGTCTCTTTCCGGAGTATTTCACTTATCCGATGGCCCCACCTAGTGGCTGACAAGCAAATCACACAAATAATTTCTCCTTCAGTTTTTTTAAGATGGCGACTTCACGTTGCTTGTTAATTTGTGTCCTTCTGTAGCCGACGAACAGCTCAAACACGTTGTTTTACAAGTTTTATTCTCATGTCGTGCTGTGTTCTCATTTATTTATATTTACTTGTCCGTGAAAAGTTCATCAACTCTGCATCAGCCGAGGTATTCCTTAGATTTGAAGCAGGTGAGCAGTAGTCCAACACTACTGGTTAGTACTGGTCGGCGCTCAGTTTCCTATTGGATGGAGCTCTGCGGGGCAGGGGGCGTGCTTGGCACAGCACATGATGAGATGGTCACTTTTACGGATATCTGAAAACTCATGTAATTTCTGAAACTCCGGAAAGATACTTTAAACCTAAATATTTACACTCAGAACACGTTTTTACATCTTCCACTCGCAAAAATGTTAGTTTTCAGTTTTCTAATCACCATGTTGTTTGTTAGATCGACCGCAGAAATGCCATAAACAAGTAAAATAACTCTGCAGTGGTTTTCTGAGGAATTCTGGGAAAACTGTGATTACAGTGGTTTATCTCCGGCTGGTTTCGCTTCTCCTTATTTAGTCAAAGGTTTAGCAGGAGGGTGAAAATGTTTGAGCTGAATGGATCGTTTACAGCGAGTCAAACATCTGTCCGAGAAACAGGGAGCAAAGATCAATGTGGTCAAATCTAACATGGAAGAACTGTTTGGTATTCTTGTCATGGAGAAGTTTTAGGAACTTTTCTACAGAATCCAGTAACGTGTTTTCCCCTCTTTGTTGTGTGTGTGTGTGTGTGTGTGTGTGTGTGTGTGTGTGTGGTCCTAGACCCAGCTGGCTGAGCTGGAGCAGTCCCACGGTGTGTGTGAGAGTTTGGTGCGGCAGCGCGACGAGGCCCACCATGAGGCGGAGAGGCTGAGGAACAGCCTCAGAGACGTGGAGCGAACATTGGGAACCAGGGAGAGGGCTCACCGGCACAGAGTCAAAGGGCTGGAGGAGCAGGTGAGTGGGAGACAGGGTCGCAGAACACTTAACTCATTCACTGCCAGTGACGACCAAAGTTGTCATTTGCATTTTTTTTTTACTGTATGGGGATCAGAACGAGCCCCCGCGCCGTGAGAACAAACATCTCAGCTCTGAAGCCGATCTTCATCTGCATACGTCACATGTCACGTGATCAGGAAGCAGACCATCCATGGGTTAGGAGATCGTTTTGGGCCGCTGCTGTAAAAAAAAAGTGAGGCGCGAACCGGAAAAGCTTCTGCCGATCACAATTCAACAACAGATTATGAAAGAACGGATAACGCTCGAAACACGCAGATTCTTCCTGATGTAAGAGGTGAGTCTCCGCTTTGTTTTGGTTGTTTTGCGTCGACGTCATCCTAGCGCGCAACGTGCTGTCACTCTTAAAAAACAGTAAAAACGACAAGAAACGCTGGCAGCGAATGAGTTAAGCTTCCTGTTTTTTTTCCCCTGCTATTGGTTGAAAGTGGAATTACAACCGACGTAAACAACCTTGACTGCTGTAACTAGCACTAACAAGCAGCTCATGCTAACACAAGCCAACTTATACTAAATATGCCACAAAGGAAAAACTTCCACGCTGTTGGACAAAAATATTATTAAAAAATATATCATTAATAACTATTATTATTAAGTCAAGTGGCAACAAAGCTAGGTCACTATCAGTTCATGATTTTGTAGCCTCCTTCAGCTAAATGAGTGTAGGCTGCGCTAATGTTCTCTCTGGTTTTAGTCCTTTGCTTTTCATTTAAAGAAATTACTCTGTTACTTTCAGGCTTCACCACGATAACAACAACAGAGGCAAATTTCTTCTAGCCTAATTCTTGTGCTTTTTGTTTACGGTCGGCAAACTGAAAAAGCTAATTGCTAGCCTTTATATTAGCCACCAGCACAGTAAATAGCTAATGCAGGTAGCTAAGCAATTAGAGACCTCCCACCAGGGGTGGACTGGCCTATCTGGCATGCTGGCACTGTCCCGGTGGGTCGCTTAGTCAAGTGGGTTGCATGCCCAGCTTGGGCCGAAACTACTCCACAGTTGGTGATCTGCAGTACATTAGCTACATGGTAACCTGAAGCTAACGGAGATTTTCTAGGTGTTTTCAGCAAGAAAAACGCGGTAGAGCGATGACGTAGTTACCGCGTTAGCATGTAGCTAATGTCCCGCTGATCTCCGCCCATAGAGAATGAGCTGATCTGGAAGGCCAGGGCTCCTGATCGCAGTGGTCTGGCCCTGCTTGTAACTTAACAGTCCCAGTCCATATTAGATCTCACATTCGGCCTAGAGACAAGTCTGCAGGCGACAACACCCCCCACCCCCACCGCTCTACCAATGGGGAGGGCCAATGATTTGTAAAAATGCTAGGACCGAGTTTTGGTCCCAGTCCACCCCTGCCTCCCACTAGTGTTCCTACCCAAACCACAAAACTGTTAAATGCAGTTTCTACTCAGCAGAGGGCTACAGAGTGCTGTCCAACGTGAAGTTGCTCAAGTTTATGTCTGGAGAACCACTGAAGCCAGTTTGAAAGCAATAGCTTAAGTGTTAAACTCTTCCATGCAGCTTTAAAACCCCTGAGAGGATGAGTAAAAACCCGAACCTCTTCTCAGGTTTCCACCATGAAGGAGCAGCTGCTGCAGGAGATGAAACGACGACGTCCCACTCTTCCCTCATCGTTACTGTCGGCAGCTTCTGATCCAGGAATTCCCCCTGAACTCTGACTCTGCTGTTTAAATGTTACGTAGGCTTAGTCTGATTAATACTACTGTCCTTTTACAGGTGCGTTATTGATGTTTTAGAGCCGAACTGAACTGAAGCACAAATGAATACGACTGAATAAAAAACACCAGCAGACCTCTGAAGGTTGCACTGATTTTTGCGTCAGGTTTGACTTATCATATGATTTAAAACACTTTTCTAGTTTAGTGATACTCCTACAGTGTGTACGTTGTTACCCATTGTTTATATTTTTGTTACTGCTTGACCACTGACAGACTGATTTATCCCATCAGTGTCACTTTTTGTGGAAAATAAAACACACGAATAAAGAAACCTTCTCCCTCAGTAACTGGCCTTCATGATTATTTCTTCCTAGATGAATCAGTCCCACACTGATGGGTCGTAGTAAAAACACGTTTATTTCATGGTCATTATGGTGACCCTTTTACAAAGCAGTAGTACAGAAGCAGGGTCACTTACCACCTGCTTCACAAATGATCTTCAGCTGAGATGCTCCATGGCTGCTTATCGATTACTTCTGTCTGCTTTCCAATAAAAGTACAGCAACTCCAACACAAAACATCAGATTACCATGTTACAATATGCAAAAATAGCAACAAAAATAAAAACACACCCAACAGTGTTCTGTGGTTTGATTTGCACCTCTTAACGTTTTATAGCACCAGTGACTTTTGCAATCATCAGTGTTATTGATATTTATTCGTACACGTTTAAAAACAAAGTATTCAAAGTGCTTTTCGCACGAGAGTAAGGAGGAACGGCAGAGGGTGAGGAGGAGTGACGGGTGGTTCCTGATCAGCAGCCGCCGCAGCTCTTCCCACAGCTTCCTCCGACAGACGCACACTGACCACTCAGAGCCATCACACCGCAACGAGAGAACTGGTCCCGACACAGATCCGCTAAACAAACACACACACACACACACACACACACAGGTCAACCCTCTGCCTTCTACTAAAATTATTTTACTTGCTTTATTTTGAAAACAAAATCTACAAATGTGGAAAAAGCACTGATAATCAGGCATTAAGTGTTCCGAAATAATATTTAAACACTCATGTTGATTAAAATAAAAGCAATCTTCAAACTTAATATTTCATTTGCATTTATGTAAGAGCAAAAGAATAAAGAATATTGTGATTTTTGTGCTTGTTTTCATGCAGCAGATTTTAACTGATTATCATAAAAATTGCATGTATGTTTCATGTGATTAAGTGATGTAACTTGAAGCTTCGTCTTGCATTAAAAAAAACTGAAATCCTTAAATGTTTTGTTTTTATTTTAGTATTTAGGCTGTTGTGGTTTTCAGTGGTTCAAGATTTAAAAAAAGAGTTCCGGTCAGATAGTTAAAATGGAAAAATGATGCAAAACTCACTTTTTGCATCTTTTTGTGCTGCCACGAGGGTCTCTACGGCCTCTATAAACACTCCAAATGTAAAAATCCTGTCCATCTGTTTTCAGTTGGTGTTTGGTTTTAGGAAATATGCATCTAAAACAAGGTGGTTCAAAAAATCCCAGTTTGTGATGTCACAAACAGGGAAACTAGAATAGAATCACCTCTCACATAAGAAGAGAGCTGCTGCTGCTGGAGGAGCAGCGGCTCTACCCCGTGTATCAAAGCTTCTCCGCTTATAGCAGCTTTCATAAGACACCATGCCAGCAAATCAACGTAATACTGCCGCCATGGTGTGTCTTGTGAAAGCAGCGTGGCAAATACGGAGATTTATGGCTTTCATGCCACTAAGATTGGTAGAAATATTACCACAACGCCTGACTTGTGAAGGAAGATTACACCTTGGCACAACAGAAGGTGGAGTCGTGATCACATGTAGAATGTCTGCCGAGTCCCGACTGGCAACTATATTGAAAATGAAACTAAACGCGGTCAGTAAGTTTAGCTTTTGTAAACAGAATCAGCTGAGAAGGCAAACTGGAGTAATGCAGAGCTCCGAGACCTTCGTTAGAGCTGAAGCTGACATCACCAGATAGTTCACGAGGTTTGTGGAGGACAGGAGCGACTCGTAAACAAAAGCAGTGCTGCTTCAGTCCTTATAAAAAGCAAGTTACATCCAGGCTAAAAGAAAGTCTGTGACAGTGCAGAGACCGCCCCCACACACCCTTCATATCGCCATCGCTTGATCTTTTGTTTAAAGCACACGATTGTGCCACACTACCGCCACAGTCTGACCACTCATGAGCGACCAAAGGCTCCCTGATGCAGCCTCGGTTTTGCAGCAAAGTTCTGTAAAAGGGTCTAATAGCAGCCTGAGCGGGGGATGGGTGGGCGTGGCCAGCTACAGCCAGTTTTCCTTGAAGTAGCAGAGCCCTGAAACGGTTCATTCTGGAAGGTACTGAAAACATCAAGAATAAAACAGCTGAAACTGCTTCATGTGAGAGGGATTTAGTGCACAGAACAATTATAACTTAAGAAAAATCATAATGTGTCCCCTTTGAGTGAAATGTTGCACAACGTCTTTAAAAATAACAATCGTCTGATCACCGTCAATGAATCTGCATCATATATCTGCTTTAGAATATCCACTATGTCCAGATATACTGGAGGTCATCAAGCTTTAACTTCCACATGAGAATGAAAATTTTATTTTTACATTTTGATTTTTGGGAAATAAATATTAGAATAAACAACGTGATAACGTAAAAAATAACTCTGAAAGAAACAAAGTTTACCATTATTCATGATCATTGCCATTATAGCCTCTAGTGTGTTTAAACCCACCTCTAAGCAGCTCCTCGTGCGCACACACGGTCCTCACACAGATCTCCTTGTTGATTACGTAAACCCGCCTCAAACTGAGTGAAAACACATGAAAAGTTAAGACGTTCTGCATAAAAAGCAGGAGGATGAAGCAGAAACAACCATCTTCTCAGATGTTCAGGAGCAGAAATAAGGAATGATCTTGTGTACCTGTAGAAGCAGAGGCTGTTCAGACACTGTTTGCATGGTTTGTGGACTGAGTAGAGTCTGGTGCAGGGATACTGCTCCTCTCTGCAGTCTGGAAGTCAGTAAAATATTTATTTATTTAACTTTACACACATATAGCAATGTGCAAAACTCTTAAGTCCTTTTGTTTTATGTTGCTTCCCAGCAGCCATGTTTCCTCGTAACTCTTTAAATGAACAGTTCCTCCGACTTTCTGAGGGGTTTTGGACTTTTTAGGCCCGAGACCTTTTTTGTTCTCCATGTTTCCTTTAAAGCTGAACTGGGCCGTGTTCGGTCACGGCGACATACAGAGCTAAACAGAAAAACTGGTTCAAAGTCCAGAGAAGGACTGAATTATTCTCAGAAAGCCTGAATAAACATTACTTACAGAAAATTAGGGATGGTTTAAGAGTTTTGCACATGATTACAGACCGCGTGACTTGTCTTCCCTGCTGCTGACTTACCCAGAGGGCCCGGTTCTGTGGGCTCCGTCTCCACATCTGAACCTGATGGAATCCAAATATGAAACTAATCAGTTGTGTTCCCGTGACTAAAGCCGTGTGCGGATCATCGGGTTTACCTGGACGGTTGACGGGTTCCCGCTGAACCTGCTGCTGGTAGGATCCAGGAAGCGTTTCAGGAGTCTGAAACTCGGTGTTCTCTGACCAGGAGGAGAGGCACGAGTCATCAGTCTGACATCAAAACACCAGAAAGATGATGTTTTTGTTTAGTTTTTACCTTGAAAAGAGTAATCCTCGTATTCGTCTGTAAAGCAGGACGAGATTCTGAGTCAAACACAGAAACGGCTGCATGCAGAGATTTGACCTATGACCTCATGTCCTACATGTTTACATTTAATAATACGCAGAAAGGACAGAGGGTTGTTTACTCAATAAAACTGTTGATATGTGGGTGGTGGGAGGAGGAGAGAGCTCCTCCAGGCTGCATGACACATCAGAAACCAGAGATGGGGAACAGATGTGGACAGCTGGATCTGTGCACGTTTAAACTCACCCAGGAAAGGAACCGGTTCCTGGTACTGGGACTGGGCCAGCAGCACAACTGTTGACATTTCAGACAAATGATCAGAAAGACGGAGTGATGCACCAGCAGGGCTGTTCACCAACATCTGCTTATGTCAGAAAATGCTAAAGAAATCAGATTTTCATGCAAATCTCAGGAAAAGGTTTGAACTTTTTACCTGATACAATTAAAGCAACACACACACGTATGAATGCTTAGAGCAACACAGCTGCTTCGTTTTTATTGAAATAGTCAAAATCTAATTTATAAAAAAGCAAAGCAGTGTGTTCTCTTTAAATAAACGACGTTTATCACACAGAGCGTGTACCAGGCTGCTGGACGAAACAATAAAATAAAACCTGGCAGATGTTTTACTTTCAGAACGCGGTGCCAAGTCGTGTTATGACAAACAGATGTGGTTGGTTAGAGCTCCTCTTACGCTCAAGCGTTTATTCAATGGTCAAATTTTTAGTTGGAGGTTGACTCCTTTACCTGCTGCTGTCTTTGAGTCATTATTCTGTTTTATGACCCGGTTTGGGTCCAGACTTCAGTCGGACTCATGAAGGAGTTTGTGGTCATCTCCATGATTGTGAGCCCAAACCATCACTCCTCCACCGCCATGCTGCTGCTTTAGTCTAATCTCTTTGAAGGACATCATTTCACGATGTTTAACCCTTTACCCGCTAGCTGTAGTGTCTGATATGGAGCATTTGTGTTTGTTATAATTCTCTGAACTGGTGAAAAGATGGAAAAGTGAGGCTTGCATTCTTTAAGTGGAGCCCCAGAAGGTCCCTGTGGTAGCTCTGGAGCTTAGCCTGTACAGTGGGGCAAAAAAGTATTTAGTCAGCCACCGATTGTGCAAGTTCTCCCACTTAAAATGATGACAGAGGTCAGTAATTTTCATCATAGGTACATTTCAACTGTGAGAGACAGAATGTGAAAAAAAATCCATGAATTCACATGGCAGGATTTTTAAAGAATTTATTTGTAAATCAGGGTGGAAAATAAGTATTTGGTCACTTCAAACAAGGAAAATCTCTGGCTCTCACAGACCTGTAACGTCTTCTTTAAGAAGCTTTTCTGTCCTCCACTCGTTACCTGTACTAATGGCACCTGTTTGAACTCATTATCTGTATAAAAGACACCTGTCCACAGCCTCAAACAGTCAGACTCCAAACTCCACTATGGCCAAGACCAAAGAGCTTTCGAAGGACACCAGGAACAGAATTGTAGACCTGCACCAGACTGGGAAGAGTGAATCTACAATAGGCAAGCAGCTTGGTGTGAAAAAATCAACTGTGGGAGCAATTATCAGAAAATGGAAGACATGCAAGACCACTGATAATCTCCCTCGATCTGGGGCTCTCATCCCGTGGGGTCAAAATGATCATGAGAACGGTGAGCAAGAATACCAGAACCACACGGGGGGACCTGGTGAATGACCTGCAGATAGCTGGGACCACAGTAACGAAGGTCACCATCAGTAACACACTACAACGGCAGGGAATCAAATCCTGCAGTGCCAGACGTGTTCCGCTGCTGAAGCCAGTGCATGTCCAGGCCCGTCTGAAGTTTGCCAGAGAGCACATGGATGATACAGCAGAGGATTGGGAGAATGTCATGTGGTCAGATGAAACCAAAGTAGAACTTTTTGGTATAAACTCAACTCGTCGTGTTTGGAGGAAGAAGAATACTGAGTTGCATCCCAAGAACACCATACCTACTGTGAAGCATGGGGGTGGGAACATCATGCTTTGGGGCTGTTTTTCTGCTAAGTGGACAGGATGACTGATCCGTGTTAAGGACAGAATGAATGGGGCCATGTATCGTGAGATTCTGAGCCAAAACCTCCTTCCATCAGTGAGAGCTTTGAAGATGAAACGTGGCTGGGTCTTCCAACACGACAATGATCCCAAACACACCACCCGGGCAACAAAGGAGTGGCTCCGTAAGAAGCATTTGAAAGTCCTGGAGTGGCCTAGCCAGTCTCCAGACCTCAACCCCATAGAAAATCTGTGGAGGGAGTTGAAAGTCCCTGTTGCTCGGCAACAGCCCCAAAACATCACTGCTCTCGAGAAGATCTGCATGGAGGAATGGGCCAAAATACCAGCTACTGTGTGTGCAAACCTGGTAAAGACCTATAGTAGTCGTTTGGCCTCTGTTATTGCCAACAAAGGTTATGTTACAAAGTATTGAGTTGAATTTTTGTTATTGACCAAATACTTATTTTCCACCCTGATTTACAAATAAATTTTTTTAAATCCTGCCATGTGAATTCATGGATTTTATTCACATTCTGTCTCTCACAGTTGAAGTGTACCTATGATGAAAATTACTGACCTCTGTCATCATTTTAAGTGGGAGAACTTGCACAATCGGTGGCTGACTAAATACTTTTTTGCCCCGCTGTAGCTGTGCTTCGCTCATTTGTTCTTTTTAGGCCAGTGCTCTCAACACATTTAGCTCTAATGCTAGAAACACAAACATGTCAGCACAAAGCAGCTGTCTGACACCTCCACACAGTTATCGTTTCACATTCTGCTGTTTCAGAACTTTAAAACCGTTTCACCGACCTGTTGCTGTTTCATCAAAAACTCAGCATCAGTGGCATTATTTATTAAAATTGTATTCAAATGAATACTTTAATGTGTGTCTCTTGATTAAAGGAGATGAATGTATGGTTTATGTGAGCATAAATGTAATTTATTAAGGTGGTAGTGGCGGATGATCCCCACCCACGCCACTACCACCTCTGGCCACCCCTTGAGCGTGCCACTGCAAGAAGGACTTTCCATTGAATCAAATGGAAACCTCGGACGTTTAATTAATATTTTACTCAAGTTCTGACGTTCATATGGACTGATAGATTGTCTTTGGCACAGGGGTCCTTAGAAACGGGACAGAAATCAGCATAAAGATGCCTCTAATACACATTTCACACTCTGGCCTCAACGATCAGATCCCTGCAACATCACACATGTTCTTCAGGGAACTGAGCAGAGACTGTTGCATGTTTAACAACACGCGTAGGGTCACGAAACCGTATGAAGGTGTTACCTGGCATGCAGATGAGTAGGAGGACTCTCATGGCCGCTCTGGGAGGTGTAGACCCACTCTAGCCCTGAGAACAGAGAACCATGACAGGAAGGAAGTGCTTATAAGGTTTCCTTTTGGTCTCCTGAATTCTTGTCCTTTAATTCCCTCCTGCCCTCTTGTCACTTTTCCAACCTCCCTCCACTGCGCTCCTCTTTCTTTGCCCTCCTTCACCCTGTCCTCCTCCCTCCTCTGGCCTCAAACAGCAACAGAGGGGAGAGAACCCCTCTAACAGCAGGAATGTGACACAGATTAAGAACAATCCCCCCCCCTACTTTTTCCTCGCTACAGCAGACGGTGGAAGCTGCGTTCCAGGAAAAGTAACAGAAGACCACTTTACCCCCTCCCCTTCTTCTGGTCCTGTGAGTTTTCATCCCTCCCTCCTTTTTGTCTTCACATCCTTCATTTCCTTTCTGTCGCCCTCGCTGGTCATTTCCTCCAACCCTCCCCTCCTCCACTCTCTTACCTCACTAAAAATGACATTTGGACACAAAACATCATTACAGAGTTGAGCCGGGTTAACTTCGTCTTCAGAATCATGACATCACTCCTTCATCAGGATTTGTTTGGACTAAAACTCAAACATCCAGATGGGATTTTAGCACTTTTCAAACATCTCTGGCCACATCTCAGTTAACCTTTGTTTTTGTCTGTGCTGCAGTGTAACACACACACACACACACACACACACACACACACGCACAGAGTTCATGAGCATTATGGTGGCTATTGGAAAGCATATGGTTTCACAACAAACATCTGGGAGCAATTACCCCCCCCCCCCCCCTCTCTCTCTCTCCACACTTCCCTTTTAAGCTAGGACCCCCCCCCCCCCCCCCCAAACACACTGAGGACAGCAGCAGGAGATGCTCTGCTGTCCTCCATCTGGGTTTTAGGGGGTTTGTTGATGTTTAAAAGTGATTAAAATAAGAGGTGATGTACATCACTTTGCCGTGAGGCCCCGCTGACCCCCCACTAAGCAGCAGATTTAGTTTTTCTTTCTCCTCACTCTGCAGGATTTCTTTTTTCCTTCAGAGAGAACAGAGCCACAACCTCTCAGATGCATGAACACAGACTTTATTAAATCCACCCAGATTCATAACTTTACGAAGAACTCGTGTTGTAATCCTCCTACAGAACAGCTCACACAGGCCCCTTAGCGTTCAGAACCCTGACCCTCTCATTATTACAGCTCTTATAACAAACTCTACACATGAGAACAGATGAGTAAAATCATGATTCTTACCTAAATGTGACTCAATTAGCTCCGACCTGCACAGACTCTGATGTGTCCAGTGAATGAAGGAGGACCCTGCAGCTCCACATTGTTCCTCCCAACATCTGCAGTCTCCTCCCCATGTGCCCCCCCCCCCCCCCCCCCTCCTCAGCAGTTCCACATGTTAACCCCCCCTAAGCTAAAGTTGAACGTATAAAATGTTGTATTTGAGTTTATTCTGTCAGGAAATGTGAATTAGGTAGAACCCCTAAGATTATTATTTAAACCACCAAATAGTTCCCGAGCACAGCCACAGCTGCAGCTCACCACTCCCCACGGGGACGGGTCAGCTGCAGAGATGACTTTCACCATCGTGTGATGGCTAACGGGACTAAAATAACCTTTAGCAGACATTTCCTCAGACGGATTGGAGGAACTTGTTTTCTTAGTTTTGTGCATTAAAGGCAGATCATGCCTGAAACATGGTTTAAGTCGCTTTCTAATTTCTTTAAATTATTTTTCCTTGTGAAAGTTTAGAAGTTGGTTGGCTTACATCTTTGCCACCAATGAGAAAAAACATCTTATTTCCAGTCGTGTGAGTTGTTTTTAGTGACCTGTGAAATATTTTTATTAATCAAATCCAGTTTGTCTTCATATCATTTAATCACACTTTTTACAGCAGATGATCATTTTTATGACTTTACATTTGGAAAGGTTTTATTTATGCACAACAGTGACCCCTGGTGGTGACCAATGACTGCTGCAGCGTTTAATGGAGTTAAACAGGCGATAACAGCTGAAGGCATTGTAATTATTTATTTCACATCATAACAAAGTCTTGTTGGAGCTAAAGGGACATTTACACTGAACGGCTGAGAGGCTGGTGCAGGACAGGACGACAACAAGCTGTGTTAGCTTCATCGTCCACCTCTGAGGAGCACAAACAGCCACACAGATGGAGCGTGGAGATAAAAACTGTTCACAAACTCACACACAATCTCCACTATTCATACCGTGGCTGTGCATTAATTCAACACAGGACTCTCTCTCTTTCTCGAATGACACGTTTCGAACAAAGAAGCACGCTGAGGCGATGGCTGGTGTTCCAGCATGTCAAACCTTAATGAACATTTTAAAATCAATACATAATTTAATTAGTGGGCTTTACAACAGGATAGTGGAGGTGTCAGACAGCTGCTGCCTTCTTCTCCTTGTACGTGGCCATCATCTTCTTGATCTCAGCAATGGCTTTTCCTGGGTTCAGGCCCTGTGAGCGAGAGAAGATGGAGCCATCATCCACGACTGACAGAAAACAAGCAGCTCGTGTGTCCCGAATACAACTTTATTCGGATGTTTGACACCATTAATTGGACCAGATCACCATCTTTAAAATGTGTGTGATTTTGTTTCGGTTAGTAATGGAAAAAAAGCTCAAGAGTTTTCATGATTCAGTTACTTTTCTGCACCATTATATAGTTTATTTAGGAAAGTTTCATCTCAGGAAAATAAACGCCAGTGCAGCGGTGTGTGACCGGCTTACCTTTGGGCAGGTCTGGGTGCAGTTCATGATGGTGTGGCAGCGAAAGAGAGAAAAAGGATCCTGCAGCTTGGAGAGTCGCTGCTCTGTGAAGTCATCTCTTGAGTCGATTAACCAACGATATGCCTGAAACACAGGCGGTCGATTCTCAAAAGAGTTGTTTTGAGCCCATAGGGCACAGCACGAACTGTTTCAGTGCCAAAACACAAACCTGCATGAGCACAGCGGGCCCAAGGTATTTGTCTCCGTTCCACCAGTAGCTCGGACAACTCGTGCTGCAGCAGGCGCACAAAATACATTCATACAGGCCGTCCTGCACATGAGGAAACACAGAAACAGGAAGTTCATCATGTTTCTCGATCTAGAAGCACCAATGAGCGTTCCTGCTGGTGCAGGTGCAGAGCCGTACCAGCTTTTGTCTGTCCTCCACAGACTGCAGGTACTGCTCCTTCCCTTCTTTAGACTCATCATTCTTCTTCAGGTATGGTTCAATGGACTTGTACTGAGCGTAGAAGTTACTCATGTCCTGCAAACGCAACACAATCCAGTCAGTCTACAGATGTCAAACTCTTAATAATCCTTCATGAATATAATCTAAGTCATCTGGAGATTACGTCTCTTTGCGTAACAAACACTGAACAGCAGTAAATAGAACTGTGAAATTCAAAACCAGTGTTATTAAAATCAGCATAATTTTCCAGCTCTGCAGCCAAAACCATTTCCCAGCTAAACGAGTACAAGAACAACCCCCGACAGTTGATTTTAAACCCTGCATGTAACACAAGGTTTGAGACACATCTGAATCTTGTTAAACGCTTGAAAATCTTTTATAAATGAAGTTTTTGTGGTGACAGAGTTCAAAGTGATCACTTTACTCACAGGTACCAGGTCCTTGACCACGTACATATGTGGCAGAGGGTAAATCTTGGTGGGCTTGCTGAGGTTTGCATCAATCTTGTTGAGACAGGCGAGTGTGTTTCCTCCATTTATGTTCATTGCACAGGATCCACAAATACCTGATTAAAACCAAATCATATCAAAATGTTGTAATTCAGCTCCTGCAACAGTTTACAAACCCATTTTAGCCACTACTGGAGCTAATTAACTAAAAACCCCATTCCCACCGTCCAGCTATTGCACCCAAATGATACTGACCTTCTCTACAAGACCTGCGGAAGGTCAGAGTCGAGTCCATCTCATTTTTAATCTTGATGAGGGCATCAAGAACCATCGGGCCACAACTAGATCAGGGAAGCAATCATTAAAATGTAAATATTTCTTTTAGTATTTAATGATTAAAACTAGTGATGCACCGATATGAAATGTTGGGCCAATACCGATATTAAGATCGCTGTTACGATCGATAACCGATATTTGCCGATATCGATATACTGACATTAATGCTGCTAAAAACGGCAGATTTTGTATGGAATGAAAATGATTAATGCATAATTTACTGTATTATGTACACACACCACACACACTTATGCTTCTGAGATGATTACAATCGCTGTCACATGACTTAACAAATACTCATCACCCCCTCACCCTCTGAAACAGATAAACAAATAGAGACAAGATGGAAAAATACTGGTTGCTATTATCGGCCCGGTTTTATTTATCAGACCGATACGTTTACAAAATGACTAACATCAGCTGATACCGATATTGATGCCGATATATTGTCCATCCCATCTTCGAAGCACTTGATGAACAAATATATAACTCCACGAATTGGCTGATGAAACAGGTGCAGCACTTACGCGTTGAGGTCAACCTCATATGTCTGCATGCGGGGTTTGTCTCCAGGTGTGTCCGGGTCCCATCTATAGATCTGGAACTTCTTTATCCTGGGCTGAACAGAAGGAGCTGCTGCTGTTTGGGCGTACCGCACCGCCTGGAGACACAGTTCAGAGGAGATAAACAGCAACTTAAAACACAATTACATGTAGATTTACTAAACCAGTCTCAGTAGACTACAGAAACTGCAGAAATACCCACTATTTACGCATTAGCTAACAAGCTAAACAATGTTTACAAGTGTGTACAGGTATGTTTCAAGTCACTTTTAATCGTAATAATGGTTCTAACAATATGAAATCTTCAAACGAATGTCGAGGATTAAATAAAAGTAAATTTTACAATTAAAAACTTGGAAGTACTTCAACTCAGTTTAGCGAAACGCTAACAAGCGTTACGTAAAAGCTAAATTCCAGAACATAGACTGATCCTTTACAGTGAGCTAATGGTGTTCGTGGTGTCCGAAATAGGTGATGCTGACAATAAAACACTGAGTACTTGTTTAGGTTTACAACAGAAAAATTTACCAGTTGCCTCGCGGGCGAGCGGAATGCCATAACACCACAGCGACTCAAGGACGTGAAACTAGCGACTGACATCTTTCTTCTCTGACCTCCACTGATTGCTATCCCAGCAATCCGTGCGGCAACGTCACTGTAAGAGCGCGTGTTTTGTGAACCATTGTGTCCCGAATTTTACCAAATGTATTTTTTTTTTTACTCATTGAATTGATAGCTGATATCTGCAGAGCCATATCTGTTTTAAGTTGTATAACAAAGAACATAAAAATAATCTGATTTGAAATATAATTTAGTTATAAGATTAGATTTTTGTTATTACGTTCGCTGGTAAAACAAAAAACGAACGCACCCCTGAAGTTACTGCGTGGGGTTTACACAACACGCCGACTCGATCTCTAAACGGAACTCAGCTAAGGTCATTTACTCCCAATTTTTATTCTTTAGTAACGCATATTCAAGCGGAAACAACTGACGGAGGAGTAGAATGGTGTTTTTAACCCTGCCCTGTTGGATCCGGAACCGTGGACCCGACAGATTCTGGAAGGTCCAAGAACTTCTCAAGCATGCACGGGTAAGGCTCCGACTATTTCCTGGATCACATTTGGTGTTATTTTATCACGTACGGTAGCGCCGGGTGGCCTGCTTTTTTCGCTATAACTATCGCGCTGTAGTAAGTCAGTAATGATGGCGTATCAACTGAAAATCTGTGTGTTGGTCCATTTTAACAGCACTTCAGAGGGAGGAAGAACCGATGCTACAAACTGGCCGTGAAAGCTGTCAGGAGGGCTTTCGTCTACGCTACCAAAGGCCGAAAATTAAAGAAACGTAACATGAGGACGGTAAGGCTGGGACAGCATTGGTTTTATTACGACTATGGCATCTATGGGTGTAACAAACTAACTTCATCCTCGCCCGTACCAGTCAGAATAAACTTTCAAGAATCAGTGTCTTCCATTAAAGGTGTAGTTGACTGAAAACCCGTTTTTAATGACGATTTCTGATTATAATCGGTCACTCTGAGTTTTTCAAGCAGGCTGAACATGAAAATAGTCTCCTACACCTATTTCCTGCTTTGATCCTGTTAGGTATTTTCATTTTCCCATCCAGGGTTACCTGAGGGAAAGCTCAACACGCAGGGGTTGTATTAATAAGCCGATCTATTAACCCATAAGCTGATCATTAACCCATACCAATAATTGACCAACAACAACCAATTTACTTTGCAAAGTGGAGAGAGATCAATGAAACACACGAGTCAGTAGTCAATTCGCTCTTCCCAGACAAAAGCCCTCCAAGAGTATTTATTAAGGACACCCAAAAATGATAAAACGCACACACACTTACACACAATCCTTTAGAAAGGGAGATAAACAGGCACTGGCACAGGGCGTTCTTACTGATAAGCCAGGACTGGAAAGAGGCAAGGTCAAACGCCTTTCTGTTTCCAGGGAAAAATGAGCTGGATGAAGCTTTCATTTAAAATAATAAATAATGTATCCATAATTTATCCAACAGATCCCTCTCTCCATAGCAGCTTCAGACCCATCTCTAAACTTCTGTTCATCTCCAAGATCTTGGAAAATGTGGCTAAACAACTCACAGCTGCTCTTGATGAACATAACATCTATGATAGCTTCCAGTCAGGTTTTCGTAGAGCTCGTTCTACTGAAACAGCTCTTCTTAGGGTCTCTAATGACCTTCTGACTCACAGTGATGCAGGGAACTGTTCTGTTCTGGTCCTGCTGGACCTGACTGCAGCCTTTGACACTGTTGACCATCACCTGCTACTGGAGAGGCTGAGAGACTGGGTAGGCCTATCAGGAACTGCTCTGGAGTGGTTCTCCTCTTATCTTTCTGAGCGTTCCTTCTCTGTGGTCATCCCCAAGTTTAGGTCCTCCACCACCTCTTTTACCCATGGTGTCCCACAAGCTTCTGTGCTGGGGCCTCTGCTCTTCCTCCTCTTATCTGCTTCCTCTTCAGGACATCCTGAGCTCCTTCAAAGGAATCTCCTACCATCTTTATGCAGATGACATCCAACTGTACATCTCCTTCAAGCCCCATGAGATGTCTAAGCTGCAGCTGTTACACACCTGCTTAGACTCTATCAAAACCTGGATGGCTGGGAGCGTTCTACAGCTGAATTAAGATAAGACTGAGATCCTCATCTGTGCCCCAGACTTTGACCCAGCTCTCACCCTGGATTCTCATGTCAGTTCTCTTGTTCGCTCTTCCTTCTTCCATCTCAGGAACATTGCTAAGCTGAGTCCCATTCTGTCCCGCTCTGAACTTGAGACAGTTCTCCACACCTTCATCTCCTCACGCTTAGACTACTGTAACTCTCTTTTCACGTGTCTGAGCAGAACCTCCCTGAACCGTCTACAGGTGGTTCAGAATGCCTGTGCTCGGCTTCTGACCAAGTCCTCCAAACACACCCACATCACCCCGCTTCTCCTCCAGCTTCACTGGCTGCCAGTCAACTTCAGGATTCATTTCAAGATCCTGGTTCTGGTCTATAGGGCCTTACATGGACATGCACCATCTTACATTGGTGATCTTCTCAGTCCCTACACCCCCAGCAGGTCCCTGAGGTCCAGTGACCAAAGCCTACTGGTTGTGCAGCACCAGGCTAAAGGTCAAAGGTGACAGATCATCTGCTGCTGTGGCCCCCAGACTCTGGAACTCTCTCCCTCTGAGCTTGAGATCAGTGGACTCCTTTAATAACAGCTGAAGACTCACTTGTTCAGGCTGGCTTTGGTGTGACCTTCATCACCCTCTCCTTATTCTGCTCTCCCCACTTATTCCACCTTCCTCAGGATCCACTGATTTCCCTCTACCTTTCACACACTCTCTCTTTCTTAAATTTTTTTTATCACAATTGTCTATTTTTGCTCATTTTAAACATATTTTTAATTATTTTCTAAATTCTTTTTCATAATTTAAATATTTTGTCTTTGTGAAGCGCGTAGTGATTTTTATCTTGAGAGACGCTATAGAAAAGATTGTTTCTTCTTCTTAGCCTCTGATAGAGAATAGACGGTGCAACTCTAGGATTAGAAAGTCCTCACATATCTACATCACACTCTGAATTTGCATTCATGGCCTCGCCCATCTTGGCTCACGCCCGCCCACAGGGAGTTTGTATTTATTTCGGCAGCAAGGAGAGAGCAGAGAGTATCTCGGCGATAGTGACCTTGCAACATGGCTGAACGCATTCTATTAGCCAATCAGAAGCGAGGCTTGTGCATATCATTAGTAATAATGAGTAATCCTGCTGTTTTCAGCCCACCTCTGCACCAGCAAACGTCTACATCTCAGAACGGATTTTGATTTAGACTAGAGAGCTCTGCAAATGTATTGAATGAACGAGTAAACCACACATTTAAGTTCATCAGATTTCGGTAGAGAAGTTAAAAATCATCACTAGATCAAGGCAACTTTTCCAAGGATCCAGGGGTCCATAAAATAATATTTAAGATTTTTTTAAGCCAGTCACACTGTCTTTTACTACTAACAGCACCAGACGGCTGACATGTACTTATGTACAAATGTGATTGATTGGCATATTTTTTGTGCTTCTTCAGCTGTGGATCTCACGCATTGCAGCAGCAACACGAGAGCACGGCATGAAGTATCCTGCCCTCATCCACCACCTGACAAAGGTTTGTTGTATTTACTTGTGATTGCTCTGCACCAGTCACTGTGTTGTTAAGGCTTTTAGCTAACTCCACCTTCTTTTGTTCCTCCACACAGTGCAGTGTTCAGCTCAACCGTCGCGTCATCAGCGAACTGGCCATCACAGAACCTCGGACTTTCCATTCACTTGCGAAAATTGCACGAGAGCAACAGCTAGAAGGTTTCCGTGTGGCGTTGGGTGACGGGAAAGAGCCTCCTGGTGTCCTCTCTCGTGTTATGCTGCAGTAAAGGACTCAAATTTGATGGATGATGCAGTTATCTATTTCTGATCCTGGATATAAACGTGCAACTTCTCATTTCAGGCAGTTCAACAGTTTCTTTTTGTGTAAATAAATGTTACTGTTTTGTTCATTAAACCTTTTGAAATATAGTACATTCATTCATTCATTCGTTCGTTCGTGACTTAGGCTCCCTAGGTTGCAGATGGCCCAGACTTTTTGATATGCACAGAGCCAGGAGGGGAGAGTCCTGTATATATAACCCACATCTCAGTCTTATTTCAGGGAATGGCTCCAACCAACTTAGATCCTTGACACCTGGCCAGTTTCTACCACCAAATAAGAAACTATAGGTTTATCTTCTGGACCACAACAAGTCTTTGCTGTCCTCCAAACTGGAAGGACATGCTCCTGTTCTGTGGCCAGGCTGATAGCCCACTGCTACCACCAGGTAGCACCGCATCGGTCTTACCTCACGGCGCCAGACACGGCACAGCCCATGTCCTCTTCATTAGAAAGTTTCATCCTCCACCCAGACAAGAGTGTGACAAATAGTGCTGGCAGCTCCTGATGCTCCATCCATCCATTATCGTCCGTGTGTCCGGAGTCAGGTTGTGTGGGCAGCAGCCTAAGCAGAGAGGCCCAGACTTCTCTTTCACCAGCTACTTGGGCCAGCTCTTCCGGGGAATCCCAAGGCGTTCCCGGGCCAGCCAAGAGAAATAGTCCTTCCAGCATGTCCTGGGTCTTCCTTTGGGTCTCGTCCCAGTTAGACGTGCCCGGAAGACCTCAACAGGGAGGCGTCCAGGAGGCTTCTTAACCAGATGCCCGAGCCACCTCAACTGGCTCCTCTCGATGTGGAGGAGCAGCAGATCTACTCCGAGCCCCTCCTGGATGACCGAGCTTCTCACACTATCTCTACTGGAGAGCCCAGCCACCCTGCTGAGAAAACTCATTTTGGCCGCTTGTATCCGCAATCTTGTTCTTTCAGCCACTACCCAAAGCTTGTGACCATAAGTGAGGGATGGAACACAGATCGACCGGTTTCAATTCTTCACAACTGATCAGCACAATGCCTGCATCACTGCAGACGCAGCACCAATCTGCCTATCGAGCTCCTGGTCCATCTTTCTCTCCCTCGTGAACAAGACCCAGAGATACTTAAAAGTCCTCTACTCAGGTGGTAAAGCGGGTTGCCTTATGATCGGAGTGTCAGCGGTTCGATTCCAGCTCCCACCAGGGGTATTCTGGTGTTGTGTCCTTGGGCAAGACACTTCATCCAACTTGCCTGTGTTGGTGGTGGCTAGAGGGGGGGACGGCGCAAAATGGCAGCCTCGCCTCCGTCAGACCTCCCCAGGGGGGCTGTGGCCACAAGCAGCTTACCATCACTAGCGGTGTGTGAATGTGAGAGCGCATGCAAGCGCCTTTGAGTGTCCTAAACAAGCGCTATATAAGTTTGATGATTATACACACACACACACACACACATATATATATATATATATATATATATATATATATATATACATACATATATATATACATACATATATATATACATACATACATATATCTATCTATATATATATGTATGTACGTATGTATATATAATAATAATGCATTGAACTTATATAGCGCTTTTCAAGACACCAGAAGACACTTTCACATTCACACACTGCTAGTGATGGTAAGCTGCTTGTGGCCACAGCCGCCCTGGGGAGGTCTGACGGAGGCGAGGCTGCCATTTGGCGCCGTCGGCCCCTCTGACCACCACTAACACAGGCAAGTTGGGTGAAGTGTCTTGCCCAAGGACACAATGGCAGGATCCCCCGGGCGGGAGCTGGAATCGAACCGATGACCCTCCGATCATGAGGCAACCCGCACTACCACCTGAGCTACTGCTGCCCCAAATATACATATAAATAAATATATATATGTATATATATATATATATATATATATATGTGTGTGTGTGTGTGTATGTATACTGTAAATATAAATATTGTACAGGCCAAAAGTTTGTACACACCTTCCTATTCATTGTGTTGTCTTTATTTTCATGACCACTTACATCAGTAGATTCTCACTGAAGGCATCAAAACTATGAATGAACACATGTGGTGTATGTACTTAACCAACAAACGTGAAATAGCTGAAAAGATGTTTTATATTCTATTTTATCATAATAGCCACCCTTTGCTCTAATTACTGCTTTGCACACTTTTGGCATTCTCCTGATGAGCTTCAAGAGGTAGTCATCCTAAATAGTTTTCCAACAGTCCTGAAGGAAAACCCTTTGAAGTGCGTGTGTCCCCAGGCAGCAGTAGCCCAGGAGCAAGAGCAGGTTGTCCAGTAATCAGAGGCCTGTAGGATCGATCCTGGCTCAGCCAAGACACCTAACCCACTTATCCCTGGTCTCATTTATAACTCAGTGAAAAGATCGCTTGAAGTTTGCAACTGAGGATACATTTTAGACCCTTTTCAGCCACCGTATAATGAAGGAGGTACTTGGAGATGACCTCAAGATCACCACAACGAGGATATCCAATCAGAATCATTTATGTTCAAGTCGACCAATCATCGTCACTGTTGTTCAGCTAAACTTTGTACAATCCATTGCACATGCGCAGACGGTTGCAGCGTGACACGCGTGTGGAGCTTCATTGACAGATCTGTGAAGCTTCTCGCGGAACCGGCTAAACCGTGCTTTATTGTTTATCGGATAAGATGTCGTGGCTGTTCGGGTTAAACAAAGGGCAGCCCGAACCGCCTCCCGGTTTACCGGCTCAGCCTCCGCCGCCTCCGCCGCCGGCTGGGGGCTCCGGTGGCGGCGGAGACAAACCCAAGGACAAATGGAGCAACTTCGATCCCACCGGGCTGGAGCGGGCTGCCCAGGCGGCCAAGGAGCTGGACAAGTCCCGTAAGTGCGTCAGAGGGGTTGGTGTGTCGGTGCAAAAACAAAATCACACAGTTAGAAACTAAAGATGCTCTCCGGACTCTGATCTGCAGCTGCAGGTCTGAATGATGCAACCAGCTTTATTGTGGCCCAGTCTGCATCAACACACACCGAATTCAACTAACAGAGTAACTCGTTTAACAGAAAAGAGCAACTTCCGCATTTATTCAGCGAGACACTGGGTTCAAAGGTCCGGCGTTCTTCAGACACATCTTAGCTTGTAACAGGAATGATTTATCATTACTAGTTTGAACCGTAAGTCCTCCACACCTGTGACGTTTGTGTTCAGGCCACGCCAAAGAAGCCCTGGACCTGGCGCGGATGCAGGAGCAAACCTCTCATCTGGAGTACCAGAGTAAAATAAAGGTACAGTTAAGCGGGCTGGCTCCGGGTAGTTACCATGTGGACAGAAAAAACTCCCATGTTCTTAGAGTAGGTAATAAAAAACAGAACAATGTGAGAAATCATTAGAATTAGTTACGTTTCTCTGATTCAGTACTGGACATAATTCTTCAGGGTCCTGGTGAAACAGCTGAAGATCTCGAGCTGGGTACATTTCAATTAGCCGTAACATTACAACCTCTGACGGACGGGTTTAATGAGCAACACTGTTATTTGTGTTCTCGTGACCCCAGATTCCACCGATCCTCAGCTGATCGGGTCTGATTTTCATTTTTCCTGAACTGGCTGCTCAAACAGCCAACAAGGACCTCCTCTGAACTTGTTTTGTAAGCCTAGCACGAGTTGAGACGACCTCTGAGTTGTTAGTTTGTTAAAAGCAGGCTCTGGTTGAGTCCTCTTTGTTCTGCCTTGCATTAAATATTAGTCTGGATCTCCGCAGGAGTACGAAGCAGCTGTGGAGCAGCTCAAAGGAGAGCAGATCCGCATCCAGGCTGACGAGAGGAGGAAAACCTTACAGGAGGAGACCAAACAGAACCAAGCTGTGAGGGGAAAGAAAACATTTCACTGCTGTTTTATGAACTCGGCAGCTGTGAAACAGTCTTCTTTGTGTTTTCACAGAGAGCTCAGTACCAGGATAAGCTGGCTAGACAACGATACGAGGACCAACTCAGGCAACAGGTGAGGTCACCACCTGCTAATTAGGACTGAATCCCTTTAGAACGACGAGTGAGTTTGTTTTCTTCTCTCTTCAGCAAATTCTGAACGAGGAAAACCTTCGTAAACAGGAGGAGTCTGTGCAGAAGCAGGAGGCCATGAGGAAAGGTACAGACCTCACCTCCGTCATAACACTGTCCTCTTAAAACTGGTCCGTCGTAACTCCGCGATTCTTGCTGTGGTCTCCATAGCAACAATAGAGCATGAGATGGAGCTGAGACACAAGAACGAGCTGATGCGCATTGAGGCTGAAGCCAAAGCCCGAGCCCGCGTGGAGCGAGAGAATGCCGATATAATCCGAGAGCAGATCCGCCTGAAGGCAGCAGAACACCGACAGACCGTCCTGGAGTCCATCAAGTAAACTTCCTGATATAATAATAATAATAATAATAATAATACATTTTATTTCAACAGCACCTCTCTAAACACTCAAGGACACTTTACAGACAGAGATAAAATACACAACAGTAAAAGATGGAACAGACAGATTGGAGCAAAGAGCGTAATTATTGGAATGCTAGACGGAACAGGTGGGTTTTGAGTAGGGATGCACCGATCAGGTTTTTTGCTGCCGATCACCGATACAGATCATCGATACCGATCACGTGGATTGGCCAGAAATTTTCTACAACATTATAATGAGTGCTACAAACTACATAATCTGGGAATAAAGGAAATGTAACCTAATCTAAAATGGTCTGATCGGCCTGCTTTGATCTATTTTGAAAACTCCGATCAAAACCGATAGGGGCGCTATCGGCCGATTACGATCAAATGCCGATCCATCGTTGCATCCCTAGTTTTGAGTCTGGTTTTAAAGAGAGTGAGGGAGTCACTGTTACGGAGGTCAGGAGGGAGTGAGTTCCAGAGCTGGGGAGCAGAGCGACTGAAGGCCCTGCTCCCCATAGTGACCAGACGGAGAGGTGGTGGAGGTTGTCGTGTTCTGACGGTGATCCTGTGTTGAAAGCAGTCGCCATCATGTGATATGGGAACAGGTGGCTTTGCACAGGTTCATCTCGTCAGTTGTATAGAGATGTGCTGATGGTTACGTTTCCTCTCAGGACTGCAGGTGCTGTGTTTGGAGAAGGATTCAGGGCCTTTGTGTCCGACTGGGACAAAGTCACAGCTACAGTGAGTTTTCTTCTGTTTTAAATCTGTTTGGTGAAATGTTTTACCGAAAGAACCATTTTTTAATTGTTGCTTTTGAAATACGATCGGCCACTCTTGAGTTTCACATGCAGGCTGAACGTGACAATTGTCGTGTACCCCTATTTCCTGCATTAGCCGCAGATGAAAATAGAAATCGACGGGGAAACGCTCGGATTAGAAAAGCTTGTCCTTTTTATGTCACACAGAAAATTTACTTTCGTGGAGCCACTCATTTTGGTTCATGATGTGGAAGACTGTTGGTTTAGCACCCAGGAAACCGCAGCGACCGTCTTGGCTAGTAGAAGCTAATGTTAGCATTAGCAACTCCACCACACGGCAGAACTCCCTCAGGCTGGTTTTATTTGTGGAGACAAAACATCAACATTGCAAAGCAAATGGAGTCAGTGGTAGAGTCGCATTGCTGTTACCCAATCAGAGGAGAGATGTCTGAATATCAGGAAGTAAGAGTCCAAATCCTGTCGTCTTCTGCTCGGGCTGTCTTCTACTTCCTGAACCTGGAGCGTAGGGCTGGGCGATACGGCCTAAAATCAATATCATGATATATTGAGGATTTCACATCGATAACAATAAATGGACGATAACTACAGGTAAAATGTCCACTAGATGGGGCTGTCCCGTGTATTACGCTGAGTCACATTATCCAACCTACGCACATCTTTTGATTTTTATTATCAAATTTATTGACATGGGAAAAATTATCTCGATGAGAGTCAGAGATTCCAATAACGATACATTTTCGATTTATTGCCCAGCCCTACTGGAGCTTTTTCCCACAACTCACAAGCCACTTGTTTATACAAGATACCACTGCAGATGTGTTGGATTGAGTGAACTTGGACTTTAAAAGGATGCATGAGGTAAAACAGTTGCTCAAATACGGGCCTGTGTTACGTTATTCAGCAGGAGCAAATGTTCACCACCACCTGTAGATCAAGCCCAACTACTGCTGGTTCCGGCCGCTTTTTCAAATGACCTTCTCTAATTATTCCTTTTCTGTTTTGCCCACCAGGTCGCAGGTCTGACTCTTTTAGCTGTCGGCGTGTATTCAGCTCGGAACGCCACGGCAGTAGCAGGACGTTACATCGAGGCCAGGCTGGGAAAACCGTCTTTGGTCCGGGAGACGTCCCGATTCACGGTGGCAGAGGCCATCAAGCATCCAGTCAAGGTAAATTCGAATAAAGAGGATCTGTTGTCCACATTCGTGGAGATGGAGATTACAATGTGCTGACTGGAATCCTTCTGTCCTTTTACATCTGCACAGACAGCCAGGAGGCTGAAGAGTAAACCTCAGGATGCTCTTGAGGGAGTCGTCCTCAACGTGAGTAAACACCGGGCCGACGTGACGCAGAAGTTAAACCGCCATCTGAGCTTGTTTTATTTTTCCGTGTCTTAGCCTTCCTTAGAGGAGCGCGTGCGTGACATCGCCATAGCAACAAGAAACACAAGGCAGAACAACGGCCTGTACAGGAACATCCTCATGTACGGTCCGCCTGGGACGGGTAAAACGCTGTTTGCTAAGGTACGCCTCAGGTCTGCGCTCTGAGCCGACCTGGAACCTGGACACTGACGACGGATCATTTGTGTTTGTGTTGAGCAGAAGCTGGCAATGCATTCTGGGATGGATTACGCAATCATGACTGGTGGCGACGTGGCACCAATGGGCCGTGATGGTGTCACGGCCATGCACAAAGTTTTCGACTGGGCGGGCACAAGCAGACGCGGGTATGCTGCTGATTCCAGGAAAAGGCGACTAAAATGATGTCATTAACTCTTTAAAGCAATGATGCTCCTGTGTCCTGTCACAGGCTCCTGCTGTTTGTGGATGAAGCCGACGCATTCCTACGCAAAAGAGCCACCGTGAGTCTGCACGCCGTTGCAGGGTTTTCTTTTGAGTCCGAGATTTCATGTTGAAAATAAACCCTCCGTTAACAGGAGAAGATCAGCGAGGACCTCCGAGCTACTTTGAATGCATTCTTGTATCGAACAGGAGAACAAAGCAACAAGTGAGCGTTTCCTGTCTATGCGACATAGACTTGGTGTTTAACAGCACTGAATGTGTTGCGGTTGTGATGTTGGCAGGTTTATGTTGGTGTTGGCCAGCAACCAGCCAGAGCAGTTCGACTGGGCCATCAACGACCGGATAGATGAGATTGTAAACTTTGACCTGCCGGGTCTTGAGGAGAGGGAGCGACTGGTGCGGCTGTACTTCGACAAATACGTGCTGGAGCCGGCCACCGGAGGGAGACAGTGAGTGCTGTGCTACAGGCCTGACGCAAGGCTAAGACGATGTGTTCGCTGTAACTTGTCCCGAGTTCCCCTCTCGTGTTTGTGCCTCTAAAGGAGGATGAAGCTCGCCCAGTTTGATTACGGCAAAAAGTGCTCCGAGATCGCAAAGCGGACAGAGGGAATGTCAGGAAGAGAGATCTCCAAGCTGGGCGTGGCCTGGCAGGTACGTGTCTTCGGAGCCAACACTCGTTCACCAAATGTCAGTAAGACGGTTAGAAATGCACCGATCCTGGTTTTGAGAGCCGACGCCATTTTTAGTTGTTTCAGGGTTAAAAATAAGAGGTCATAATTTAGAAAAAAGGTGAAAAACACGAAACACAAATCAGATTTTAGTTTCAGGTGGACCTGTCGCAAGTTGAAACAGTCTGCTGAATATCAGTTAGTCTTTACTGACAACAAACCGAACCCAGCTCGATAAATAAATGTTCACACTGCCGCCGCGGAGTACGGTGGAATTTTATGTTTCCCACATTTTTGTTTAGTTAAAATCCATCACACACACACACACACACACACACACACACACACACACACACACACACACACACACACACACACACACACACACACACACACACACACACACACACACACACACACACACACACACACACCTAAGGACAATTTAGACAATCAACCTAACAGTCATGTTTTTGGACTGTGGGAGGAAGCCGGAGTACCCGGAGAGAACCCACGCATGCACAGGGAGAACATGCAAACTCCATGCAGAAAGATCCCAGGCTGGGAATCGAACCCAGGACCTTCTCGCTGCAAGGCAACAGCTCCAACCACTGTGCCACTTGCCAGCCTAGTTCAAATCTAAATGTAAAATACCACATGTGGGTATTTTTTAAAGCGTGTTGCTTTCTTCCAGGCTGCAGCGTACTCCTCTGAGGACGGCATCTTGACTGAAGCGATGATCGATGCTCGAGTTGATGACGCCGTCAAGCAGCACCATCAGAAGATGGACTGGCTGCGTGGAGAGGAAGAGGCCAAGAGCCTTACTCCTCCTCCTCTTTCTCCTCTTCCAGCTGGGGTGCCAGGCAGCGGTGGAAAAAGGGGTTTTACTTTACCCCTAAAGGACACTCCTCGGGCTGAGGAGGCGATCGCTCCAGTTCTTGACATAAATCTGCCTTCCCCCTCTGACGGTGACCAATCAGCAGGTGGTAAAAGCATCGACCCAACTGGACCGGGCTGTGGAGCAGAAGCTAAGACTGTGAAGGGTGATTTAAACCAAGATGATGGTGAAAGAAAGCCGGACCAAACTCCCCCCAAGGATGGAAGTCCAGTTTGAGTTTTATGGATTCTGTCTGTTAGAAAGTTTAGCGTCCTCTTCACTAATCAGGTTGTGTCGGAAGCTTTCTGGACGGTTGTCATAACCAAGATAACTAATTACCTTTTCATAACACGAACGATGCCTGACACGTTCATTTTAATTTAGAACCTATAGAAGTATACCTAGAAGCCACGTGTCTGATGAGTTACACTATAAACGTTGTCCAAAGTCAGGTTTCTCTGTCGAAATGATTAAAACCATTTTCATAACAAACATTCTGATGATCAGTGATAAAGCTGAGGTTTCCTATCCGGGGATGGGGGTGAGTTTTAATGCTGTAACGTGGGGACGAGTCCACGGTTGGCTGGATTTCCTGCAAGAAGCCTGGAAAACCAGATGGGGAGATGGACTCGTGATTCAAAAAGGCTTTGTTCTCATGTTTTAGAGGCAAGGTTGAGTTTAAAGTAAAAAATGTGCAAAGAAAAGTGCTAAAACTCTTAAAGTGCAATCTAACCTGTGTCAGAATTTAAGATGAAAACTACAAATGAACGTATTAAATGTGAAGCCATTGATGAGCTGATCAGAACCAAACTACTAGTTCAAAAAGCAGAAGAAAATCTAAACGCAGGAGGAGTATGTGTGTGTGTGTGTGTGTGTGTGTGTGTGTGCGCGCGTGCGGACCTTCAGATGACTATAGAGGAGATTTAAGTAACTTTGGCATCCTCCACCCCTCTGTAGCTCTGTATGCACACTTGAATGTTTGGGTCATCTGTGACTCCCTCTCATGATCGTCTGCACACAGATTCTGTGATAAAGAGCTGCAGCCACTTTACTTTCTGAGGTGTCCGACAGCCTGTTGGTGTAGGAACATCACAGCACATGATCACAAGGACCGTTAAAGCTGTCCCGAGGTCCCGAGGTATCTGTACACCACTACCCCAGCTGCAGGACGCCTACACCCACCGCTGCAGGAGGAAAGCATCAGGTGTCACGAATCTCCCACCTCCCCTTAGGAGAGCACATCATCATCTGCTGATGTCATCGTTTTCCAAATGTATTTTTGTTTTAATGAGTGAGCGCCAGGGCAAGAGGCATTTCATAGCATTCTGTCTACTCTGTACTTGATTTAACACAAAGTTGAAACTTGAACACACACAGGGATGGACTTATTGACACTGATCCAGGAATCAACAGCAAAACGTTTGAAAATGTGTGCGTTTTCGCTCGGTGGGTGTTGTTATGACATGGGAAACAGGAGAAATTAGAAAATAGTTGAGAAAAGATAATCTGACAGAATTCATCATAGCCGACAATGCAATAATCAGTGTATTAAAAAGGTACTGATATGAATATAAATAACTAAACTGGTGAACTTCAGAAGGAAATTGTAAACTAAAGTAAAAATAAAACATTGATTAAACTGATAACTGTCGTCATCGACCATTAAGTTAATCCTGCAGCTTTACACGCATTTACCATTTTCATACAGTTTCAAAATAAAATCGTTTAAAATACTCGCACAAGGGGCCGTTTTGCATCCCTTAATGAAAACTTTAAAGTCTTTCCAATGAAACTGTCAGTTTAAGCAGTTCGTAGAAAACACTAAACTTTCTTCGCTGGAACAAGCTGCATACTTTATCTTACACATCTGCATCGACAGATGTGATCCTCTCCCCTCCTCTCACCAGCGGAAGGGTCAGATGAGGAACGCGTTCATGTCTGATGGAAAAATCCCAGTTTGACACAACAAAAGGTTACTGGTATTTACTAATGACCTCTAGGGGTTTGCTGTTCCCACATGAGGGCGAGGACGTGAACCTCGTATTAAATATATCAGTTACTTTTTCACAGAAAATAGTTCCGCAGTGACGTCACTTCCGGTCCGATCTATTTACCGCGGAGGGAAATTCGCTGCGTATTAAATTTACAGTATTTGAAAATCTTCATTTCTAAGAGGCTTAATGCAAGTTTTATATTTTTATACAAACTAAGTGGTTTGCTGGTTTTCACTTGTCTGCTTCTAGATATTTTTATTTGTTTAGTGATGAAAACCCTCATTGAAAACACAGAACTACAATTCAAATGTTAAAACTTTATTTGTCTTTAGAGACGTACCCCTTTAAGGCCCGAGTGCTCCAGTTTCAAGAGATTTTTTGCAACACTTTTCAACCATTTTCTCAAAGGATTTAGGTCAGTGTTTAAAATCTTATTTCAGTTTAAGAAATTGCCTTTTTTTAAACCTAGATCCACTTATTCCACATTATTGTATTCCACATTCTCTAAACTACATCCAAAACTAACACAAACACGTGCCTTCCTAACAGTTTGTAGATTAACTAAAGTTATTCACAGCTAATAAGTTGCCCCAGATTCTAAATACGCATATTTTTCAAAAGTTCAGACTGAATAAGAGAATACAAAACCAGGAGTCCCCGAAACGTCTAGATGTCACTTTCTTTAGTTGACTCATATATACATACAGAAAAATCAGGCACTCAGAGCTGAACTTGCCATTTGAAAATAATTACAAAGCTTAAATTCTTTACATTTACAAAAGGAAAAACAAGCTATGCTCTGGAGGGGGGAAAAAAACAATGCATTTGAGAGCTTAAATATGAAATCAGCATATTATAACGGGTCCATACTAGAGAAGGTCTTGGTTTGGTTGTTCATCAGCCCACCTTAACTTAATCATAACGCATCTATAACACAACGTGAACAAAAATACAATTCAGTTACCATGTCTCCTGCATGTAAACACATCTAGTATGGCCCAACTTAAAAACCTCTCATCTTGAAAAATTTACAGTACTGATTAAGATGAAAAGCCATCCGTAATCAGCACAATTATGCCACTTAGAATGAAGAGGACTTGCAGAGAACCTGCTAAAACTGTGTGTGTGTGTGTGTGTGTGTAATGGCTCTCCTGAGGGGACATGGTTCAGTGATTTGATTTGACTGAGATCAGGGGCAGAACCTTTACCAAAGCTCAGTCTGGAGGAATGAAGGCATAAGGAGAGCAGCAAGTCCATCCTCTGCACAGAGGAAATTACCAACCTTTATAAGTCTAACAGATCCTGAAGCAGAGCTGTGTGTGTGTGTGCAGATGCAGTGCGTTTACACTGTCATACATGTAACTGTCTGTACATATTCTGTTTGACTGGGATCCAAGTGTGTGTTTTATTGCAAATTTCTAAAGTGTATCAGTAGAAGCAAACAGTGTGAAGAAAGGGCCGGTTGCTCTTCTCCTCAAACTCCTGTACGAGCTCATCGATTTCATTTTCCATATCGTCGGTGTGCTGGATCTGCAGGGATGATGACAGACGCGTCATCAACACAACTTGTACATAACACACACTTAACGGTCACTTCATGAAAAAAAATCTAAAATAACTTACACACTGACACAGCTCACAGATGAGAAATGCACCTAACGTGGCTTCTTCATGGTTGTCCTGGATGTCTACATTGATTACATGCACGGGCTGCAACGTCTCCTGCTCCCTTGAGTTCAAATCTAGAACGAAAAAAAGAAAAACATTAACATGTAATTTTCTGTAATAAAAAAACAACTTCTAATGAGAGCAGCAAAAGACAAAATCAGGCTTTTCCCATGAAAATCCTCACCCTCCAACACCTGGTCATAGACCCTCTCTTCACAGGTGACGACCAGGTCAAACTTGTCTTTGCATAGCTGAAAGCGCTCTGGTTTGGTTTTGATGCGTTTGTTGCGGTCCAGCATGTGCAGGATGCCATTCTGTGTGTAACTGATGAGTAAAGGTCAAGGAACACAGCAGCAGGAACTGCAGCAATACAGGCAAACTGTCACACTATTAAACATAAGTTGACAGTAAACAGGTGCTTTCTCAGCCTACTCAGTGTTTTAAATGGTGTGTGTGAGGGACTCGCACTGTAGCACCCTCTAGTGGTGACACCAGTAAGAAGTCAATGAAATAACTAGATCATTTCTGGAAGGCAGCAAGCGAACTGCTGAGGCATTTTTAATACCCAAATGTTCAAAGGCCACACTGATACTATCAGTTATAACATTTTTTATTCTAATTTCACTTTGTTTTCAATGCCAGCGGTCTTATCCACCACAAAAGGGGCAAAACCGTATTTTCTATTGGGACATGTTGGGATTTACAAAGAATGTAGGAAAAAAAAAAGATTTGAGCCAAACTTACCACAAGCTACCTGAAAGCACACCCTCACCACTGAAGATGCAAGTAGATTAAGCACATATGTGACGCCTTCAGGTCTCACAAAAGGCCTCTGCACATAAATATTGAGTCTAATAAAATAAGTTTTTAAAACAAAATTAACTAGAAAAATGTATTTTACATCTTGTTAGTGGAGACCCCAGTTGAACTATGAAAGGTACTAATATAAATAACTAGTAGTGATAAACACTCAAGTCTTTATTCTACTCAGATTACTCTTGAGACTTTAACACATATTCAGACCAGTTTGTGTTCAACCCCAATTTAAAAGGCTTAAATATTATAGAACACTTGACTCATCTGTTGCTCCTGTTATTATTTTTGGCTTGTGGCAGGATAATTTCCCCATGCAGGTCATTTTAAAGCTCACCCCCCCCCCCCCCCCCCCTGTTTTCCTGACCCCTCCTCCAGATTTTACTGGATAGACTCCAGCTGATGCTGACTAGTGCAGATGACAGAAAAGAGCAAAGAACAGGGATAAAAACACAGCCAGATACATGTGAACAAAGTGGATTCACACCAGCGGATTTCAGTGCGATCCTCTCACCGTAGATGCTAGTCTAACAGCTCATTACTGTACTGGAGCCAGACCCTACCTCATTTAATAACCATGCAACCAACTGTTCTTAGTTCCAGCATGTCATTTACCCACCGGTGACCTCCCATCGCATGTGCTGTCCCAAGACCACCACCTACATCACATGTTACACAAGTCATGTTTAGTTATGTGTGAGGGGGGAAAAGGGTGAGTGTCAAGGGGATACAGTTCCTTGTCCTTGCGGACCAAGTCGTTGTACATCTGTTCATAAGTAGTTTTGAAGTCGTACACATTGGGTTTATCCGGGGAGGGACCGGGTAGCTTCACGTGAGACCCCGTCCCAAACGATCGCACGTCAAATCCACGCTTGCTGCAGAAAGAGAAGGACAAGAGTTAAGGGTGTGAGAAAGTAACATAAGACAGCAGGATGTAAATCTTTAAGCTGCAAAGTCAGGATTTCTGTAAATTTTGGGTCAGTTTCTTCCATCTGTGCTGTTTAGAGTAACTAAATGATTTATTAACTCAGCTAAAAATGTTCCATGAGAACTTCGGAGCTGAATTAATCTGAACAAGAAGACGCCCTTCATTTAAAAAAATCCTTCTCAATCTTAAAGCATCGAATCACGTGACTGAACATCAACTTGCACAACTGTAGTCTTCTTCCGGAATGTTCCCCTCCAGGGGGCGCTGTTGTCCACATGTAGGTAAAAAACTAAAGCGATTTTTTAAAAGAAATCTCTGAAACTGTAACGGACACTAAAACCTGTGTAGTTGACTAATTTAGACAAGCCCTCAAACCCAGTCAAAGCAGTGTTTTGGGGTGAGCTACATCCCCGGTGGGGCACTCGGAGAAGTGTGTGTCCATTGTTAAACTGCGTTAGGCCTGTCATGGTGCCGCCGGTACAGCTTGTGACCGGCAGAGGAAAATACATGTCGTTCTCTTCGTGGTGGCTTTGCTGCTGTCATCTCCCCGGTGGCTCGTCTTTACCTGAGGATATTGTGCGCTTCCATACTGCGGTTCTGGTTGCTCGAGCACACAACCGCTACACGCAGCGGGTGGCTCGGCATTGCGACTCTCCGGCTGAAACGGTCACAAACACTTCAGAAACTAACACGGATTTATTAGTTGCCTTTCTGCGGGTAAAATACTAGATAAACACCTGTCTAAGTTAACCTAAATTGCGTCTAGAGATGTAACACTGAAGTACGTTCGTCTTCTTCTCAGGCAGGAAGTTAAAATGGCGGAACAGCGGTTCGGGAAGGGGGCTTTCTAGGATGATGTCATCAGTAGGCGGAGCTTTCGTGTGGGCAGTCAGTAAAACAGGAAGTACTGGATTTAAAAAATTTGTAAAGCCCTGATCAGCAATACACAAACATGTCACTTTCAGTCAAATCAAATTACACACCTTTATCAGACCTAAGTGGATGAAATGAGGATCAAATATTTTATAAAAGAGAAACAAAAAGTAAAGGCTAAGGGTAAACATTTCATGTCTTTAAAGCAGTCGCAGTGCTTCTTCCATTTCAGTTTATTGCAGAAGGTATGCAACAGAGGTTTGCATGTTAGAAATCTACTTGAAGTACTAGAAAATGATATTTAAACGTTTTTTAATACTTGGATTAACTTTTCACAAAGTAATAATAATGATAATGTGGAGTAAAATTTGTTTTATTTAAGAACCACCCAGCGCTTCTATTAGACAACACACACACACACACACACACACACACACACACACACACACACACACACACACACACACACACACACACACACACACACACACACACACACACGCACACATATATATGTGTGTGTGTGTGTGTGTGTGTGTGTGTGTGTGCGTGCGTGTGTGTGTGTGTGTGTGTGTGTGTGTGTGTGTGTGTGTGTGTGTGTGTGTGTGTGTGAATAGTGTTATAGTAAGACACTACTATATACAACAGTAGTTCTTATGCAGACACTATAATGTGTCTGCATAAGAACTACTGTTGTATATAGTGGCTTCTCTTATTTTTTTACATTCGTGGTCACTTCATTACAGGTAACGTCACATAGTTCACTGTGGCAATGCACACATTTCCCTATGTGTGTGTGTGTGTGTGTGTGTGTGTGTGTGTGTGTGTGTGTGTGTGTCTGCTCTGTCTTCTCGATCCCCAGTGAGTCTTGGCGGATGGCTGCTTATACTGAGCCAGGATCCTCTGGTTTCTTCCTGTTAAAAGGGAGTTTTCTCTCCACTGTTGCTGCATGTTTGCTTAGTATGAGGATTTCTGTAAAGACACTGACACGAGTCAGTGACTCAATGCAACTGATTGCCTTAATGAACTGAACTGTATTGCAATGTATAATTTAGATGATTTGGTGCTATATACTGTAATATAAGTCCTGTGGGTCAGAAAACTACTTGCTATCGTGACGTTACTGAACTTCAGTGAAAAAAAATTGATTTCTGATTTAAAAATAAAACTGCATTGCCAAGAGCAATTCACTAGTGCTGTCAGTGTCATGCTGCTGCTCATGAATGTTGCAAAAAAAGCATTTTATTGGGATAATTGCCAACAATTTCCTTTATTGTCAGTTTGAATGTAAACATCACTCAGATTCAAGTCACTTAGTCAAAGTTTTGAACCACATGATTCAGAGCAGCAGTTGCAGGCCCTGTGATAGGTCCTTGTTTGATGTTTATAACATGGATTAGGTACAACTGACAAGAAATGCTATGAAACCATTATTACCTGCATGGCTCTCTCTGACCCATAGTGGCTGGCTGCAGAAATAGGCTTCATTTTAGGTTTAACCCTCTTTATTTAAACAAATTGGATTTCAAAAGAATAAAATTCATTCAATACATTTTTGTCTGGATGTTAACTTCTTC